ACGGCGGGTGGGTGGCTCGGGGCTCGCGCGCATGTCGGGGGGGCCCCCAGAGCAGGCACGGCTGGCACGCGTGAGCCACGGTTCACACGAGGGGCTCCGTGCCGCGTTTGGATGGAGCAGGCCCTGCACCCAGCGGGAAGGACTCAACACCGAGCACCTGTGCTGGGTGAAGGTGTGGTGCGTGGGAGCAGGAACAGACGCCACCTGAGCCCGGCCCCCGGCCCCTGCGGCGACCCCAACCGCTCCCCAGGGACATCGGGACCCGCCGGACACCCTCCTCCGCGAAGGTGCCACCTCACACCCAGACTCACACGTACACGCACACGGCCTAAAACCACTCCTGCGAAGGGCCGTGGGGCGGACAGAGCACCGTGAGCATAAGCATAACCCACGGAAACAGAACCTAGGTGGGACAGGTGACTTGGCTGGCAGGTCCTCGCTGGGACCGACTCACCTTGGGGCACGCCCTCCAGCCAGACCACCGGAAACAACAGGTCACATGCAGTTAGAACCAGACCCCCCCGCGAGCTCTATCACAAACTGTTGACCCAAGACTTCCCGAAACACGACGGCGGGCCGGTCCCGGCCCCTGTGGTTGCCCTCAGGGCGGGACAGCCCGACCAGGAGGGGTTCCCCTGCAGGTCAGAGGGGAAGGCCGGGCATCCTGCCGGCCGGGGGCGAGCACCTGGGGAGGGGCCGGAGGCCCCTGGGCCCACAGAACAGCACTTGGCCACCAGGGCTCCCCACGGCACGGCTTCATCACGCGAGAGGCCAACGTTCAGTAACCAAATGGGAGCCCAGACCGTGATGTCACGGAAGGGCTTCTGTCTGGGGCTGTGAACTGGGCCGACACCAAAACACAGCCGCCCAAAGGGCCCCCGGGGGAAGGAGAAATCACCCAGCACAGTACCCCTCCCCGCCCCGATGCTCTCTAGCTCATGTGACTCTGCAGCCCCGGGCAGGGGTCACGCAGGAGCTGGGGTCACACCGGAGCTGGGGTCGCAGTGCTGGGGTCACAGAACTGAGGTCACACTGGAGCTAGGGTCCCACCGGAGCTGGGGTCACACCCAAGCCTGGGGTCACGCAGCTCGGGGCTGCACTTTCTGGTTGGGGCCCAGGATGGTTAAGGACAAGCTACAGAAGGGACAGCCTCCGACTTGCATTTCCAAATTGGGAAGAGTATCACGGGTCTAACTTTCTGTGACATAGCACGGGGGCAGTCACTCCACCCGCAGAACCTGGACGGCGCAGCACGGCGGACGGGCCAGACAGCGGGAAAAGGAGGGGAACCTGAAGCCGCCGTGCCCGCTCGTGAGAACTATCGTCTGGAAAAGTCCGGGGATGGGCCGGGCCTGGCGGCTCCTGAAGGCCACCAGGTGCAAGGAGCTGCCGGCTCGGGCTCAGCGACGGGCTGAGGGCCAGACTTGGGCCCACTGGCTTCTGGAACCTTCTGTCCTGGCTATGAGCCCGTGGGGGCCGGGAAACCGCCACCTGGCCCTGTGGTGGGTGGGCTCGGCCAAGTGGCAGAGGGCTGCGTGCGTCGCGTGGCAGGAACAGCAGCTGCTGCCAGGGAGGGGCTCAAAGGGAGGGCCCCGAAGGCAGCAGAGGACCCCAGACTCCCATCCCCCATTGGAATGAGCTGCACAGACGTCACGGCCCAGAGTCTGGAGAGGCGTCTGGCTGAAGAGCCCACCTTCTCGGTGCCAGTCAGCCCGTTTCTGAGACGTCAGTGCCTTCAGAGGCAGGTTCCGGGCGTTTCTCGCGAGGTTTCCAGGGGCCTCCCCGTAGAGGGCTGGTGGCCCTAATTGCGCCCAGGCCAGAATCAGCAGTGAGCGTGCGGGGAGGTGGGGGCGGGCAACTGGGAGTGGACCCCCGCCTGCAGCCGTTCCCAGACCTACTGAGACTGTCAGTCTCTGTTTCAGCACGAAAGTCTGTGGGTTCTGATCTCACCGGCCCGGACATCTGTGCCAAGGAAAACTTTGCCAGCATTTGAAGTCCGTAAATAAGGAACTCCAACCTAAAGGTTTTTATAAGCTTCAAAGTTGCAGTGAAAATACTTGGGCAGTAACATTTCTTGAGAAGCCTGGTGTAAGAAGCGTTTCTCTTGTTCAAACAGAAGGTGGCCGCCGGCTCGCCCTAAGTCCCCAGGCCCCTCCTGGGCCGTTTGTGTCGTTCTGACCTGGCTTTCCTGGCCTCAGACCAGCGTCATGGGCCAACGAGAAATCTCTCGATGGAGGAGACAGGGTCTGAGGCTGCTTCGCCCTCCTGGAGGCACCCTGGGGTGCCCTTGGATCAGCAGGGTCCCAGATCAGCTCACAGGGCGGGTAGCCACGTAGAGGCTGCTGGTGGCCCGGAGACCTTTCCACTTGGAGTCGGTGGGAGGGAGAGGCGTGGGACCACTGGGACAGGTTTTACTGGACTTGGAAAAAAGAGAGTGACATCTGCTTACAATATGCCATAATTCCTTTCATGGGATGAATGGAATGTGCCGGCCTCACTACCCAGAGTCGGCAGCCCCCACAGCCCACAGAGCAGGTCCGTGGGGATGTGCAGAACGCAAGACGTGTCCCCACGCCCAGGACGGCCCTGCTGCACCACGCCAGGGGGCTTCACCTCTGCTGTCCCTAAAAGCACCAGCTCAGCTCGGCCAGCCCTCCTCACTGTGATTCTTGAATTCCTCCTTCCTATTTAAAAAAGGGATGAAAACAAAACCCACCCATTTTGTGTCCTCGACTGTAGAGCATCAGGGTTCTTCCGGAGGAGCTGGGGCCTCGGGAGAGTCCTGCGCGATCCCGTGAGTCCTGTGCCCTGGGCTCCCCTCACCCCAAAGGCAGCCGCGGTGAGACACCCAGAATTCCCAAGTGAAGCGTCCAGGCAGGGGGAGTCTTCCTGCAGCCATAACTCCTTCCCGCCTTGTTAACTCGTAGTAAAATACACAAAACGTAAAATCTAGCCCCATGACCATCGTCGGTGGCAAAAGCGTCGAGTTCCTTCACGAGGCTGCACGCCTGTCCACACCACCCGTCTCCGTTCACCTGCAGGACGGAAACTCCATCCCCACTGAACACGGCCTCCCCTCTGCTCCCCCAGCCCCTGCTTTCGGTCTCCATGATCTGATGGCTCCCGGGACCTCCTACACGTGGGACCACACAGCGTTCACCCTTCTGCTGATGCCTCGTTTCACACAGCACAGTGCTCCAGCTTCACGTATGTTGCAGCAGGCGAAAGAACACCCTTCCGTTTTAAGGTTGAATGACACTCCGTTGCACGATGGACCACGTTTTGCTGTGCGCTCATCCATCACCGGACACGGGACTGTGTCCACCTTTGTGAGTAAAGCTGGCAGGAAGCGAGCATTCAAGTCTCTTCTGGAGACCCTGCTTCTGATTCCTCGGGGAATATACTCAGCCTTCACTGTATCTTGATATGTGATTTCCTATTTCTCTAAGCCACTTTTACACAAGTTTGTGAAATTTAACTCATTCATTAGTTGAGATATATTAACTGAGGCAGGAAGGGAGGGAGGGAGGAAGGGGGAAGAAGGGGCGGGGGGGAGGGAAGTTTTGCACGTCCTCGCCACCTCCCCGGGCCCAGGCCTGCATTCTGGTCTCACTTTTCCTCAGTGAGGCCCCAGCCTGGGGACAGTCCACCGTGGGCACTTCCCACAGGAGTCCTTCCTCGTGAGCCGCAGGCCGAGTTCTGGAGTCTCTCTGACGCCGCCTGGCTCTGAGATCCAGGGTCCACATCGGGAAGAATGGCTCATACCTCCAGGCTCCCCAGCACAGGGAGCCTCCTATCGCGTGTTGTCTGCGATCCTTTGAGGCGTCTCCTTCATCTGTCCCTGCGCTCCCCAGCTCTGCCTCCCCCCAGACACCCCCTGCCTTTGGTTTTGATGGTTTGTCCTCTCCTGGCCCACGTGACGGGTACCAGTTAGGCCCCCAGGGTTCTCGCCCGCAGGCCTCCTGCCCCCGCGTCCCCTTACAACCAGGATGCTCACGGGTGCTCTCTCAACCAGGCACTCTGGGGTGCCAGAGGCACCGCCATAACCACACTGGGTGGTGGCTGCAGACCAGGACGGCATCGGGGAGCCGGCCCAGCCGAGGCCCGTGCAGACGGCCCCGCTCCTCCCCTTCACTGGGGCTCAGGCCATCAGCTGCCCCCGGCACCCTGGACCAGCGCCCCCCCCCCCCCCCCAGTGGATCCCAGCCCTTCCTCAGTCCCTTCCCCGTCCCTGGGCACAGCGACAGCACACCCCTCTCGTTAAAGCCTGATCCCTCTCTTTCCCTGTGTAGTAAACTGGGTTTTGCCTTTTTCATTTGGTGGATGCTATAAATACAGGAAAACACATTTCGTCTCGCACACATAATTTTCAAAGGTCCAATTGTGCCCCCGTGTGGTGGCAGGAAAGAGCACGGACAGGGAAACCTACGGGGCAGGTCTCCCGGACCTGCGGGGTCCTCGGCAGCCAGAGAGAACCATGGACGACGGCAGGGCCACGCCAGCTTGTGTGTGAAACTCTGGTTCGGTAATGCCCCATCATATCACCCTGTTCATTCTTTTTTTTTTTTTCCAACGTTTATTTATTTTTGGGACAGAGAGAGACAGAGCATGAACGGGCGAGGGGCAGAGAGAGAGGGAGACACAGAATCGGAAGCAGGCTCCAGGCTCTGAGCCATCAGCCCAGAGCCCGACGTGGGGCTCGAACTCCCGGACCGCGAGATCGTGACCTGGCTGAAGTCGGACGCTTAACCGACTGCGCCACCCAGGCGCCCCCCCTGTTCATTCTTTAAGACCAGATACTATGTCTGTTATCTGATTTATTCATTTATTTATGTCCTCAACAAATATTTCTCTTCTTTTTAAGTTTATTTATTTTGAGAGAGAGAGAGAGAGAGGGACAGAGCATGCGTGGGGGAGGAGCAGAGAGAGAGGGAGACACAATCCCAACCAAGTAGGCTCCATGCTGCCAGAACAGAGCCCGAGGTGGGGCCTGAACTCACAACCCTGGGATCATGACCTGAGCAGAAACCAAGAGTCTGACGCTCAACCGACTGAGCCACCCAGGTGCCCCCTCCCCCCAGCACGTCAAGCAGGAAATAAGGTCCCCCTTACGCACTGTGACTCTATCCCACCACAATTTGTCCTCCTGACAAAGGCAACGACTCAGTATGTGAATCCCCTCCCCCGAATCCAACTCTTTGTGACATGGAGAAGTCTACGACGTCTCGGGTTTCCCGCCAAAAAGCTGACGGTCACCATGACAGGAGCTTGAGTGTATGCGTCGTACAAGCAGGTACGCTGTGTCACTGGGTGCAGACAGTCCTGAGACGGTGGAACCCGTCCAGACAATTGTGGTGTCACAGACCAGAATCCAGATGCCTTCACTCCAGGAACCAGTTTAGTTACAGCCGCTCTGGATGTCAGCTTCCCAATCTAGAAAATGGGGTGATAAAACCTCTCAGCTCACAGGATTGTCACTAAAATGAGATCAGGCGCTGAGAGCTGAGGACTCTTCGGGCAGGGAGCGGAGGCGAGGGCGCGCCACAGAAAGAGTTTGCAGAACACTGAGCGACTCACCTACGGCGGTTTATGTCCAAACACCCAATTTCCAGGTTTCATAGTCGTTGGCTAAGCCCGCGGGCTGCTCTCTGCCCCCCAAAGAGCCTCCCCACACCCCCCACGTTCCCACTGTGCGCGGAGTGACAGGGTTAGGAACTCCAAGCCCGTGCCGGGAGCCTCTAATTCTATAAAGGGCCAGCTTCCTGATTGCATTAGCAGCATGAGGAAGTTCCAAATTACTGAGGGGCCGCTCTCCCCTGCACAGCTCTCCAAGAGCACGAAATAAATCGAAGCGCTCTCGCTTCAGAGGCTGGGAGCAAAGGAGTTGGAATCATTCCCTGCTGACCAGCAGGAGGGAGGATGCTTTTCTACACGTTTCTGAAAATGGAATCCCCCTTCTCCCTGGGTTTGAGGGATTTTTACCGAGGCCTCCCACAATCCTTCTCCCAGCACCGTCCCCAAACCTCAGATGCTTGAGCACCCCACGTGACGGTGGCCACGTCCACATGTCAGTTGTGCTATCGGCTATTGAATAAATGTTAATCACCTTTTAAATTATTTTGAGAGCGAGCGAGCACGTGTGCAACCTGGGAAGGGGCAGAGAGGGACAGAGAGAATCCCAAGCAGGCTCCATGATCGGCGCAGAGCCTGACCGAGGGCTCGATCTCATGACCCCGGGATCACAACCTGAGCCGAAATCAAGAGCCAAACGTTCAAACGACTGAGCCACCCGGGAGCCCCAATTATTTTTTTAACTTAGCCTTAGCCTAAGTAAAATAAATACTACCACCGGCTTAATGTGGCTTTTTTTCTATTACATATTCAAACACATAGTAACTACATAGTAAGTAAAAATTAAGAACGTTTGTCCAAATGCTACCTAAAGAGCCTCTTGTACAACCGAAGGATCCAGCGTAGCAACTTTGGGAAACTGTCTTGGGGAAAGTGCCTGCCCTCGGAGAAGCCCGCAGAAGCCCACCAACCTCGGTGCTCCCGGGACAGCCCCACGCGGCGCGCGGGGCCCGGCGGAATCTGCTGGAGGAATGTCTCCATCTGGTGGCGGTCGCCTCTCATCACACTGGGGCGTGAGCCCTGCCCCGGTGAGGGCCTGGGGGCTCCTTTGGGGAGGGGGGAGGGCAAGAAAAAGCGCCCGCGCTGGCGGTGACGGTTGCGTGACTTTGTGACCGTACTGAAACCCACTGAACCCTACGCTCTGAAAGGACGAATTACACGGCACAAGTTATATCTCAGTTTTTACAAAAGAAGTCTCGTGGAAGTATCCAGTAGAGCAGAAAGAGAAAACTACCCTCACCTTCTTCTGGGATGTTAAACCGTCTACAGCATGGCGAGGGTGTCTTTATCTGTGCTTTGTCTTGTGGATATCGGGTCTATATTCCAGGGACCGGAAGTCTTAAACGTAGAAATGGATTTTTTATTTGTGTGTTTGTAAACCACATCCACAGCTCCCATTAGACACAATTTCCCCAGAGTCTTCTAGCCGACATTCTGAAAAGTTGTTTCTTTTTAAGGCTCTCGCTCTCCCTACAACGTGCTTTCAAGCGGCGAAAGCACAGATGGCAAATGTGCAGCACACGCCTTTGTCTGGCTTCGCAGCGGACTTTGTGGGTGTGGTTAAATTATGATTTTCATTCTAAGGGGAGGCTAAGAAACGTTTGCCGCTTGATGGAAACCATGTGTCAGTTAGTGCAAGACGCTACGTCAGGCGCTTTAACATGACATATTCCTCACAATTACACTTGCTAAACAGAATACCATTACAGAATCCCCACTAATGTTCTCATCACACACCAACTCCAGAACCTTCCCCTGTAACTCATAGGGGATTGATCAGTGCAATTATTTTGTAAAGGTCCTTGTCAGCGGATTCAAAATAACCAGCAACAATAATTATTATTATTTAGGATTCAAGTGTTAATTTTCCAGCTGAGATGCAGCCCCGGCCTCACACAGCTACAGGTGTGGGTACGGGGAAAACAGAGCCGCGTGCGCACAGCACATTTTCGGGGAGGGAGGACACCACCAGTCTCTCTTTGTCCAGCAAGGGGGAGGGGGCACGTGATCCCACAAAAACACATTGGAAATACGGCCGAGATCTGGAGAGAATCCGCCACTGTCACAGCTTGTGTCTTCACGGCCCTGCTGGTTTTCCTCGTGTGTAAGCTTCAGAGAGAAAGGGCCCTCGTTGGAGAGACAGAAGCACCGGCCCCCCATCTGCCCCCAGGAGGGCTTAGCCGCCCTGCTCCAGCCCGAGCCGCGTGAGCCCCTCCGGCCCCAGTGCCTCAGCCACAGGGGACCCACACCCACAGGGACCCACGGCCCCAGGGACCCACACCTGCAGTCTAAGCGGGGCAGGTAGGAAAACGCTAGCAGCATTTGGGGACAGCCCTGACAGCCCGGGACAGGTCTCACGTCCCCCCCCCTCCCCTCCACAGGGGTTGGTCCTAAACACACCTCACCCCTGCAGGTCCACTGTGTGTCAGCGAGGCTGTAACGTGTGGGGCCGCCCCCACGACGTCAGCAGTGCTAAGACCCAGAGACCCTGAGCTGCGACCAAGAGAAAAGAGAGGAGGTCTGACTGCAAAGCCGGCGATCGGAGTGAGGGGTCTCTCCCAACCACAGGCACGGAAAGGGTGGTATGGGAACGTCACGGACAGCCTTGTGCCGATGAAGACAAATGGACAAGCGGCTACGAAGACACGAATGAGCCAAACGAAACCCACCGTCTTGTGTCTTTGCTGAGCATCGAAGTTCCTGTGGGGAAACCGGGGCCTCGGAAATGGGCCATGTGAATCACCCCGAGGCCGAAGCCAGACAGAACATCACAGGAAAGCTTCACATAGCATCTCTGATGAACACTGACACAAAACCCTTCACAAAATATCAGCAAACCGAATCCAGAAACATATAAAAAGGATTGTAAGCCATGACCAGTCGGAATTGATCCCGGGAGTGCAGACTGGGTGAGTATCTGAAAATCGATCAATCAGTAGATGCGGAAAAATATGATTGACAAAATCTAACATCTATTCATAGTTTTTTAAGGAGCAACTCTCAATAAACCAGGAAAAGACAGGAATGTCCTCAACCTGGTAAAGGACACATAAAAACAAATAGCCTACAAGCTCCCATCACGATAGTTTTTGATAGTTTTTGAAGACTTGAGTGCCTTCCCCCCTAAAACTGTGAGCAAGGCCAGGGGGTCTGCTCCCACCACCTCACCTCTACTCAGCATTGTGTGGGGGCTTCAGTCAGAGCAATGGCCACATCCCTTCAGAGAAAGGAGGAGAGGGAGGGAATGAGAGAAAGCAGGAGAAATTAAACCATAAATATTGAAAAGAAGAAACAAAACTATTTACAGATGACCTGAGTCTATGTAGAGAAAATTCTAAGACTTCCACAAAAAAACAAAACAAACAAAAAACAACAACCAGAACTAATAAATGAGATTATCTTCACAAGACCGCAGGATACGAGATCATTCTGCAAAACAATCAATCCGATTTTCACACAGTATCAACAACCTGAAAATTAAATTAAGAAAACAATTCCATTTATAACAGCATCAAAAGTAATAAAATACTTAGCATTAAACGTAACAAAAGAAGCGCAGGATTTGTTCACTCAAGACTACAAAACGTCGCTGAGAGAAATCGCGGAAGATTTAAACAAATCAAGAGACATTCCGTGTTCACAGACGGAAAGATTCAGCATTATTTATATTTCAGTTCCCTGCAAACTGCTATAGATTTGCTACGATCACTACCAAAATCCTGGCATGTTTTTTGTAGAAATTGACACAGTGATCCTATTAGAAGAGCCAAGACGATTTTGAAAAAGAACAAAGTTAGAGAATTTACACTATCGGATTTCAAACTCGCTGTAAAGCTGCGGCCGTCAAGGCCAGCTGGTGTTCGCGTAAGGACAGACACGCAGGTCAGTGGGTTAGAACTTGAAATCGGGGGTGTTCATGGTCCTCGTGATAAAACGTAACACAAAACAACATCGTAAAGAGTCACTGGAGAGAGATTTCTTTCTACGAAGGACTCTGTCAACCCTGTAGTGTACCCTCATATCTACCTTGTGCTGGATTCAAAACAGAGAATGAATTGACAGGCAATGACTCCACCCCATTCTCTGTTTTGAATTACCCTAAGATGCTCATCTTGGGACCTGTTTTTCAGAAACTCTTTCCAGTGGCTGTAATGGAAACTTGGCAGTCGTGAGAGGAGAAGCAAATTAGAAGGTAATTTGTACAGAAATTACATGTGGAATTCGTACAGGAAGATTATTTCCTCTAACATGACATTTAACATTTTTTATTATGAAAGTTTTCAGAACGTGTGCAAAACGATGTTCTTTACTACTCTCGCTCCGGGCACACCTACCACGCCTCCTGCCAGAGTCTGTGGAAGTCGACCCCAGGAACCGTATTCTTTCATCTGTAAATATTTCAGCACACATCTCGAAATGATAAAGTCTTTTTAAACCAATCATCAAATAAATTAGCACTGATACCCCATAGGAATTGTTTTAATAAACAGAAAAGCCCTCTCATAAGCTGCGCGGACTAACCACATTCAGTCTATAAAGCCTAGAGTCTTCTTTTAAAAGCCTTTTTTTTGGGGCGCCTGGGTGGCGCAGTCGGTTGAGCGTCCGACTTCAGCCAGGTCACGATCTCGCGGTCCGTGAGTTCGACCCCCGCGTCGGGCTCTGGGCTGACGGCTCAGAGCCTGGAGCCTGTTTCCGATTCTGTGTCTCCCTCTCTCTCTGCCCCTTGCCCGTTCATGCTCTGTCTCTCTCTGTCCCAAAAATAAATAAACGTTGAAAAAAAAATTAAAAAAAAATAAAAATAAAAAAATAAAAGCCTTTTTTACACCCATCTCCTGATGTAAAGTCAAACAAGTTTAATGCTTACTTTCCCCCAAATATGTACTTTTCCCACACGAGCCACGAGCTGCCTGCAAACTCTCCAGCGGGGAGAAAGGCTTACTGTCTCGTTCTAAACCCGATAAAGTGGGCCTTTAAATGAGAACCTGTGACTCACAGCATCAGATTCACTCTAAAATATGTTTTCTCAACACCTGACTCGAAATAGTAATTAAAAAAGCTAAACCTAAGCCAGAGGGGAAGACTCAAACAGTACAAGACTTCAACGTCACGTCTGCCTGCTGTAATCAATACACCCAGTGAGAATCTGAGAGAATCTTCTAACTCTGCGGGCTGTCGCGAGACTCATAATCCCACAGATACTCCGGCGGAGCCAGCCCCAGACTTGACCGCATCTCCGTCCCCGGGAAGCACGACAGTGAAGAAAAGAAGCGGGAAGGGTCACGGCCTATTTCTGACGCCGTGATTACCTCGTTGCTCCGAAGTGCTAGGAAGTGCTCCCGGAAAGGTTCATATAAAAGGCCCCCTGGAAGATGCCACGGGGTGTGTGAGCGTGGGTCGGGACCGCGAGGGTGCGGTCCAAGAAGGGGGCGCCAATCCCGTGAGCAGGTTATGATTGGCTCACGCGCAGCAGAGTTTGTGTAAGCGTCGCATCACAGGTCGTGACACATCACACAGATAGTTTAGATATATGTTAGATATCGGTTGTTTTAACAGAACCAGTTCCCTTCCACTGGAATGTTTCTCTTTCCTAACTAATGGTTTCTTACTTGAAAAGACTGAGACACGAAACATAAGAAAACATGGTGAGCAAATAAACTGGTGAACATATGTCAAATCAAAACAAACACGGTCTATAAAATCATAACAGTGCCTAATGCGGGGACATAAGGACACAGAACCAAAACACTGGACAATTGTAGCATGTAAATCTAGAGAGGAACCGTATTTTAAGGCCGTGTATTGTTTGCAAAGAAACTGGTTGGAATCTTAGCTCCACACTTACTAAGTTAGGAACACAAAGTAAAATTTCAATGGTGATAAACAAAAGAATAAAAGTGGAGTAAGAAAAAATAAATAAAGATAGGAAAGCAGATTTCAATATATCACCAAAGGGGAAAAGAGATGATAGAGGAGAAAATACACCCATAGGAACATGAGGTTAAATATAAGCATGCTGGACTGAGCAGCTAAAAGATAGAGACTATGAGACTAAGTCATAAAAGTCTAAGCCAGACTGCGTTTATAAGATAAATATGTAAACTTAAGGTATACAAACGCTACCAGTAACAGAATATGCCAGGCAAGCATTTTTTAAAAGAAAGTTACGACCGTCGTAGTACTTCAAACAAAATATGTTTTAAGACATAAGCCTTGGGGCGCCTGGGGGGCTCAGTCAGTTAAGCGTCCGACTTCGGCTCAGGTCACGATCTCACGGTTTGAGAGTTCGAGCCCCGCGTGGGGCTCTGTGCTGACAGCTCAGAGCCTGGAGCCTGCTTCGGATTCTGTGTCTCCCTCTCTCTCTGCCCCTCTCCAGCTCGCACTCTGCTCTCTCTCTCAAAAACAAATAAACATTAAAAAAAGTGTTTTTAATAAAAAAAATGATACGCATCATTCAGGGTACAGAGGGCTCCACACAATGAAAAAGGTTCATTTCGTCAAGGATATAAAAATTCTAAATGTGAACTCCTCTAGTAACAGCCTCCCCCCACTCTCTCTACGCGCACGCACACACACACACACACACACATGAACACAAACACACACACCACACACACGTGCAGGTAACAAAACTCCAGGGAGAAACTGGCAAATTCACAACCATCCAAGAGATTTCAACTTATCTTTCTCAACCACGGCTTAGTCGATCAGAAAAATATGTAAGCCTAGGAGATTTGACGGACACATTCAACAAGCCCGATTTATTGGGTAGATATGGAACCCTGCATCAAATAAGGAAAGGATACACACTCTTTGAAAGCACATATTAACCCTATATTGGAATTATGCCAATAGCCTTAAATTTCAAAAAAGTAGTATCATTCAGAGTATTGTATTTAACCCTAATGAGGTTAATTTAAGTCAACAATAAAAACATGGAGAAAAGTCCCCAAGTCAGGCTCTGCACTGACAGCATGGAGCCTGCTTGGGATTCTCTCTCTCTCTCTCTCTCTCTCTCTCTCTCTCTCTCCCTCTCTCTTTCTCTCTCTCTCTCTCTCTCCCTCTCTCGCTCTGCCCCTCTCCCACTTGCACTCAGGCTGTCTCTCAAAATAAATTTTTTTTAATGTGCGAGTCGTATATGGGGAAAATTATAAAAATCTCACTGAAAGACATTAAAGACAGGCTAGATAAAAGGAGTGATTAACTGTGTTTGTGGACGGGACGACTCAAGTCACAAAGATGTCACTTCACCCCAAATTGACTTATAGATTCCATGCAGTTCTGATCAAAACGCTACCAGGTTTTGGGGCGCCTGGGTGGCGCAGTCGGTTAAGCATCCGACTTCAGCCAGGTCACGATCTCGCGGTCCGTGAGTTCGAGCCCCGCGTCGGGCTCTGGGCTGATGGCTCAGAGCCTGGAGCCTGTTTCCGATTCTGTGTCTCCCTCTCTCTCTGCCCCTCCCCCATTCATGCTCTGTCTCTCTCTGTCCCAAAAATAAATAAACATAGAAAAAAAATTTTTTTTAAATAAAAAAAAACGCTACCAGGTTTTGCCAATAAACCCGACACACTAATTCTAAAATTTACAAAACAATGAAGGCCCAGAATATCCACAAAGCTTGTGAAGAAACTTCCCAGATACCACGACTTACCGCGAAGCGACAGCAATTGGCCCAGTGCAACCATGAACCAGAACAGATCACCTAAAACAGGCTCGTGCATTTATGGGGACCTGCCGAACCTCAGATGCATCACAGAAACAAGACAGAATGTCCAAGGCAGGTTTGCGCACTTAATGGGGGCCTACTGTATGCCAGAGACGCATCACAGATCAGGAGCGTGGGGTAAGTTCTCCCGTACGTGGGGCTGGAACGACTGGTCACCTCATGGGAAAGAAGTCTCATCACCCACCTTACACTACATACAAACATCCACTTCTTATTTAAGGACCTAACTGTGAAAAGCAAAGATTTACAGATTTTTAGAAGTTAAAAAGGAAGCTATCTTTATGATCCCAAGCTGGGCAATACATTTCTAAAATTAAGAAATTCTGTTCATCAAAAGATTTCATAAAGGAAATAAAAAAGACAAGCCAGGGGCGCCTGGGTGGCCCGACTTCGGCTCAGGTCATGATCTCACAGCTCGTGAGCTCGAGCTCCGCGTCCGGCTCTGTGCTGACAGCTCAGAGCCTGGAGCTGCTTCGGATTCTGTCTCTCTCTCTCTCTCTCTCTCTCTCTCTCTTTTTCTGCCCCTCCCCTGCTCACACTGTCTCTCTCTCTCAAAAAGAAACATTTTAAAAAATTTTTTTAAAAGACAAGCCAAACATTGGTCGATGATGTGGGTAACATATAAACAACAAAGGTGTTCGGAAGCCATACGGAACTATACAAATCCATAAGAAAACAAACAACCCAATAGACAAGTGATCGAGAAGCACGGATAGGCATTGCAGACAAAAGGCCAGTAAACAGTAGGAAAAATGACTTAGCCCGAGTGGCTACTGGAAGAATTCAAGCTAACCCGCACGTTACTGCATGGGATCATGTTACAATTTTGGTCGTCACACAGACCATCACCCAGATTGGCAGAGAGTAGGAAGCGTGGCACAGAGCTGCCGAGGGCGTGGTGGGCGTGCACGCTGAGGCAGCCGCTGCAGGGAAGGGGCTGGGGTTGCCCCCTATCTGCATCACCTATCCTGGGATTCAGCAGCTTCACCCTCGGACACTAGCTCAGAGGCACCAGGAAACATGCAGCACTTTTCCTAAGAATCCAAAACAACCCCAGTGTCCAAGAGAATGCTAAATACATCCTGTCACACCCCCACAGTGAGCTGTCATAGAGAAGTCACAGTGAACAAACTACAACCACATAAAGCAATGTGGATGAATTCTGGATGCGTTATGATGAATGAGAAAGCCATTCACAGACAAAGGAAGCAACAACCTACGTATGTGATGCATGTTTGCAAACCACGAGAGCGAGCATAACCACATCCACACGCACACACGCGGTAAAACCCCGCATAAAGGAAGCGTGACAAACAGCACATCGAGGGAATCGGGGTGGGATGGGATTGACGGGAGCACAGGCAGCCGTAACGATATTCATAATGCTGTAGATTTAGGTTGGCCGAGGGGCTCATTTTAGGATTACACGTAGATTTTGGAATCCACTCACTTCACTAATTTGTAATGGGGGGCAAAAGAACGAAGGAAGGGATCCAAGTAAAGGCTATTAGATGTTAGCACTGGGTAAGAAGTATCTCCGATGCCCGCCTGCGCTCCCTGGCCCCCACTCCTGTCTGTGAGACAGAAAGACCGCAGCAGCCGGCCAGCTCCCTCCCTGCGGGCGACATCAGCCCGGATCTCACTGGAACTCGCCACGGCCCCGGACCCCACTGGCCGCTCCCTGCCGGTCGCTCCCTTCTCTGCCTACATTGCTGTGGCCACCTTTCCCGCACGAGAAACGCTGCCCTTAGTGCCATCTTCACTGCCGGGTGTCCCCAGGAATCTGCACCCCCAGCCCCGCTGTCCCACCCGCTGGCACCTCTACCATGTGTCCGCGCAGCTCAGACCTGACAGACGCCAAGGGAGCTCATGGTCTCCCTTCCCGGTTAATGCGTCTTCTTCCAGGGGCCAGTTTGGTCTCCTCCTTCTCACTAATGTGCCCAGCGAGCGACAAGACCTGGTGGTTGTGACTCAGCGAGTCTCCCTGCGACCGCTGCCATCCGTCGAGATGGCCCAGGCGTGGGGTCTCTACCTCCAGGCTCACTCTGCCCTCAGCAGCCGGCAGTGCCAAAGCCCTAAGCACGGATCACAGAAGCTCGCACGTTCGCTCAAAAACACACAGTAAGGACCCCCGGCCCACAAAGGTTCTCAAACCTTGCCGCGCGTCCGAACAACCCGGTGAGCAAAACTCCTGGCCTCGGGTCCCCTCCAAAACCCAAGTCAGAATTTTGACCGGTGACGTCAGCAACTTTTAAACATCCTAGTCCTGTTCCCATTTTTGTCACAAAGCGTTCCATTAAGGGGTCCCCCCAGAGCCCCCACGGTGACGGTCCTCGTGCCTCGTCCCGTTTCCCTGCTTCCTGTTAGAAACCCATTGGTGGTCTTCCAGTGGGGGTGAGGTAGGCAGAAACCAGCCATCGCTCGTGTTGCAAGAATATGGGGGAAATGGGCAATTTTGCGAACACGGTGTCTTAAAAGACACCGGAAAGTTCTAGAAACTAAGAGGGCCGAAAGGGAGGAAATCCCGAAGAGGGAAGAGCCACTCTTCAGCACACTGTCATCGCGGCCCCTTCCGTCTGTGAGGCAGTTGGTGAGTCTGGCCCATGTCTGAGAAGGTGGAGACACAGAAGGGAAGATACTCAAGGGGTCGGGGCGGGGGTGCTGATGCGATCGACCAGAAACAAAGGAGCCCCAAATACAGGGCATCTGCTTGGTGCTAGGGAAGCATGCGCGTCCTGGCCGTGTGGCCAGGCTTGCAAGAACGCGGGAGACCTCCTGCAGTTGTGGTAACTGCGACTAAATGACCCCTCACGAACAAGAAGGGCCTATGAGAGCACGCGGCATGTCTCACCTCGGAGATACTCCGAACCAGAAGCGGACTGAGCCGGACCTCGGCCTCCACCTGCCCCAGATCAGGCTGACTGCGATCAGGCGACCAGCCCCTCACCCCGTGTGCCTACGGGAGAAAGGCTGTTCTAGCTCTGTGCTTTTTGGATACACAGCGTCTGGCACACCAGTGAAAACAATCCTGGGCGCCGTGTGATGTGTTTTTGTAGAAGCCCCACGGAGAGCACCAGGCCCGTCAGACCTACGCAGGAGGCTGGGGGGGCCCACGAAGTGAGTCCCGGGGATCTCCTTGAGATAGCACCTGGAACACTGCAGGTTGACCTCCTGAGGCTTCTAGGACTGGGTACATCTGGGGAGGGCGGGGGCTGGAGAACTCACAATTGCCAGACCCCGAAAAAGCACATTTCTGTGACAGCTGGAGTGGCCCGAGGACGGTGAGGAGGCAGGGTTGCTTCCTTTCATCAGCAATCGGAAAAATATAAAAATGCCACCACTGCAAGGTATGTATGATGGAGTCCACACCGTGTGTGGCTCTTGTCCTGCACAGTAGGGTTGGGTAGAGCCGGCAGCCCCTCATGGCAACAATATGAAAAACGTGTTGGTATTTTCTAAGGACCAAGATCAAAGTCACGTTAGTAGAAAATGTACGCTTTCACCCCAAGGCTAGACTGTATTAATTCTAGAAAAATGATACCTTTTAGTGAGGTGTATCTGCTTCTCGGATAACCAGAGGAAAAACCACAATAGCTCTATCTTGCTGAGGAGTGTGGCTTCCTTCAACACCTGACCACGACTGAGGACTCAGGAGCTTTGAAAGAAGCTTCTAGAGACCACTAGCAGGATCAGAGGTGGGGACCAAGGAGTGAGAAAGTACTGACATAGAACACCCTCTTTGAAAGTTCTGGAGTCCATGAGGCCTTTTATAACACTCAGAAAAAGTGGCAATAGTTCTATATATGTTACAGGTCTACTCATATTTTCTATTTCTTCTTCAAGTTCTGTATTTTGGTTTTTCCAGAACTTTATCCATTTCACTTAAATTATCTAGTTTGTTGGCACACAGTTTTTATATTTTTCCCTTATTATCATTTTAATTTCGCGAAGTCAGTAGTGCTCTTTTCACTTTCCTGATTTCGGTAATTAGAGTTTTCCTCTTTTTTTTTTTTTTTTTTTAACCTGGTCAATGCAGCTAAAGTTTTTGTCGTGTGTTAATCTTTTCAAAAAACCAACCTTTGGTTTTGTAAGTTTTTCCCCACTGCTTTTCTGTTTTCTATTTATTCCTGCCCTAATCAATATTTTTGTTTCTGCTTTTTTAGTTTGCTTTTCTCATTTCTTATGGCCAAAGGCTAGATTCCAGATTTTCTTTTTTTTAATATGGGGTTTTTGTCATAAATTTCCCTCTAAGCGCTGCATTATCAGGCAGCACACAAGCTTTAGTATAGGTTTTTATTTTCATTCACAAGCATCTTATTTCTCATGATTCTCTCCTTGCCCCGTTAGTTACGGAAGACCGCTGCTTAACGTCCACACAACTGTGACTTTCCCGGTTTCCTTCTGTTGCTGATTTCTAACTTAGTTCTCTAGAGTGCAAGATGGCGTCACTCATGCCAAGTTGTGATACAATCAGGAAAGCAGCCGAGAGCAGAGCTCACCCAAACCAGCACGGACTGGCAGAACTAAGGCCTGAGAACCCACAAGGCCATGGAACCTGGAAGAACCAGGTGCCGAGAATCACAAGAACCGGAGGAGGTCTGGAAAGACCTAAGGCTGATTAAATTCCTGTGAAAAGTAGGAGTTCCGCAACCAACCTCCAGATTCTCCAGACGCTGGCGCTCCCCCCACCCCCCGCGCCCAAATAAAACCGACGTCTGAGGGCTTGAGCGCTGCCCCGGGATGCTCTATGGCTCTCGGCCCCATGGCTCTCCGAACGGAGGGGATGCTTGCTCCGCTCGAAGAGTGACCGCCGTGCGTGAACCGCTGACGCATTTCGAACCAGACCCAGGCTTCATCTCAACCGGCTTTGCAGTAGGCGCATAAACTTCTTATCCCTTGTTCTCTTTTGTCACTTTACGTGACTTGAAGGAAGCCAAGTTCAACGTGTAACGCAACGTCACTGAGCTTGGAATCCTGAACCTGCTTTACAATGGCTACCACTGCTTTACGACTGAGCAAAGCTGACTTTGCAAAGACACAACTCCTGTCCGCGCCTTTACAGCGCGCTCCTGACGACGTTCGTTGGGGTTGGAGAACGAGCGTGGTCTGATTGCAGTCCTTTTACGTGTCCTGAGCACTGTGCTACGTCCTAGCACACAGAGTGCCCTGGGGAAGGGATGCCGCTACTCGGAGCGAGTGGTGCCCAGGTACCGGCTGGGTCCCGCGGCCGCGCGCTCTCCCTCTCGCTCTCCCTCCCCTCCGCCGCGGCTGCCTGGCTCCTCTGTCCTCTGCCGCCCCAAGCGCGAGGGGGCCCAGCTGGCGGGGTCCGCCCACGCGCGGACACCGGCCAGGTGGCACCCAACCCGCGCCTTCAACCCCGCATTTCGGCAACGACCTGGGCGGGGCGCCCACCGCCCTCTGACCCCGGGTGGCGAACAGCACGCCGGGCCCGCAGCGCCCGGATATCTGCGTTGCATGCCGGGACTCGCAGTCTCCAAAAGGGTCCTCGGCACGTGACTGGGCTGCGGGGAGCAGCCCGCGCTGCATGCTGGGACTCATAGTTTAACGACCCTGGGCCTCCGCGCACCAAGGGAGTTCTGGGACCCGGGGGGGGGGGGGGGGGGGCGCGGCATGCCGGGACCCAGCGCGCGCCGGGAGGGGTGGAGATTCGCAGTGCATGCCGGGGTTTCTGGGCAGCGGCGCGCGCTGCACGCCGGGACCCGCAGGCCCACGCCGCCGGGGCACATGGGGCGAGGCCACGCTGTTCCCGCCGGGCCGGGCCAACAACACGTTTCTGCCCCGGACGCGGCCGGCATCCGCGGCCGGCGCAGCCGCTTCTCCGGGCTGCGCGTAGGCGTGTGTTTACACACGGGCCCCGCGGCGCACGCACGTAGCGTCACGCGACGTCAGACGCTGTCCCGGAAGTTGGCGCGGGCCGGGCGGCGGGTGGAAGCCGGTGCCGGAGCGCGAATTGCAGCGCCGTCGCCTTCACTGCCTGGGCCGGGGTCGCCGGCCCGCCCGCCCGTCCGCGATGGGGACCGGGCCCTGAGCGCCCCGCCCGGCCTCCCTTTCCACAGCGACCCCGCCCGGCCGCGATGGAGGCGCCTTCAGCGGGCCCCCTTCCCGCCGAGGGCGGCCCGCCGGTGACCGTGGCCGAGGTGCGCTGCCCGGGCCCCGGGCCGCTGCGCCTGCTCGAGTGGAAGGTGGCGGCGGGCGCGGCCGTGCGTATCGGCTCCGTGCTGGCCGTGTGTGAGGCCGCCGCTTCCGCGCCGCCCGCCGGTCCCGCCCCTGCCCGCGCTGGCTCCGGGGGCTGTGTGCGAGCCGAGCGAAGGCTGAGGTCCGAGCGCGCCGGCGTGGTGCGGGAGCTGTGCGCGCAGCCGGGCCAGGTGGTGGCCCCCGGGTGAGTGGGGTCGAAGGAGCGGGATCTGGAGGGGTCCTGGGCCGGGCACTGGGCAGGAAGGGGTCCCCGGTGCCGAAGCTAGAGGGACAGCTCGGGGAGAACTTTAGTGGGTGGGTCACACCGCAGTTGTGCATCTGCGTGTCTTTCTAAAGCTGGACGATAGTCACTACTTGTGGGGATTTAACCGTTCCGAAGCATGACTTAAAACGTTTTAGCTGCTAAAATTGCAGTTTTAGGAAGTAGGCGTATTCTGTTCTGTGATAGGTGCCCCCCCCCCCCCCGCAGGACTCCGCGTCTGTAGGTTAACTGCCCAGAGAGCACGGGACGATCAGGCACGCTCCACGCTGGTCATCGCAGTGTAAACGGCTGGGGGTGGGGTGCACATCTTTAGCTTCTCGTAAACCTTGGGAAACGCGGTTGTAAAGCCGGGTGCAGTTCTGCATCATAGCTCAGGGGGGTGCAGCCGCAGCCCAATTAGTTTAGGGTAACAAAACAGTACATATGCTAGTACGCTTTCCTCGGATAGACTCTAGCTGTTGGTTATCTCCGTTTTAATCACATAAAGGGACCTTTCTCTTTTTAGGGGGCGAACCTGTCCACCCACACCTCGTGCGACTTTACCAGTGTTGTGCTCTGAGATTGGGCTGGTGTGTGGGTATGGTGTGTACATACACATGACTCATGTGGTTGTTTTTATTGTCTGGAACAGAAACCGGGGCAGGTGACCATTCCTGCTTCCTGCTGTAGTGGTTGGCTCACAGCTTCCTTCTGCGAGGGCCACAGGACATCTCAGGCGCTGGTCCCCTTGGGTACAGTCTGGCCCTCTAGTTGTGCTTTGTGCTCTGGTCTCTGCCCCTCTCCTTGTGGCTTGCACTGCCTGTGCATCTGTTGAGAATCTGCTCCCCTTCCATAGGATGGGCTAGGACTGGCCTCCATCCCAACCCCAGGAGCCTCCTCCTGTGTGCACTTCTCCCCACTCGTTGTTTGGAGACGGCACTCTGGTCCTTGGCCTATGGGTAAGGTGCCCGCGCCTGCCCAGTGAGCATGGACAGGATGGGATGGGAGCTGCCTCGGGGCTGCACCCTCCCCGGAGCCGTCTGGCCGGCCTCCTTTGGAAGGGAGGAGCTCACTGGGCTGTGTGTATATGGCACACTGTGGTTTGCTGTCCTCATTACTTTGAAGTCAGAGTTCACCTGACCGCCGCTTGGGCGTATAAACTTATGAGCCCATAGTTGTGGAGGTGAAGCCCAGTGCTGGTGTAGAAGGCTGTGTAGAAAGTTCCTGAGGTGAAGGGCTCTTCGTGTCCTGGTCTTCCTCTGATTATACAAAGAGGGCCACTGAGGCCCAGACAGGTCAGGCCCTGGTCTTTCTGTTCCTCCCATTGTACACAAAAGGCCATTAGGGCCCAGGCGGGCCGGGGACTAGTCAGTGAGAAGCTCCATGTGTAATGCTTTGATCCCATCAGCCAGACTAGCAAATCAAAGTAACCCAGCATGTTAATCTCACCAGTCAGCAAAGAAACGTACCTGATGACAAGTTCTCAGTAGGGAGTTTTTCTTGTGTGTTTTTGGCATTTGAGGTTTAGGGTGTCTCACTGCCGTGGTTCATCGTAAGGCTCTTTGCGGACCCGATGACAGTGTTGCTCCTGGCGCGCAGGGGTGAGTGGGCACAGGTGAGGCACCGGCACAGCCAGGCTCACCTGCTCGACGTTGTCCTTGTTTTCATCCTCGCTGGCGTCAGCAGGGTTCGTCCCATCCACGTCCGTGGTTATTCTCAGGCAGCGAACAGTTCTAGGAACTTAGAAATAGTGCTTCTGGGTGTGCCTGAATTCATCACTAGATTATCGTTTTGGCCGGTAGTAGGAGGAACGTTTTTGTGCTTGCTGTCAGGTAGAGGTAGGAACCGAATCCTTTCTTCTCAGATAGGGAGGGTGCTGGGGTCCCAAGGGGCTTTGGCACACCCAGCAAGCTGCCTTGTCGAGGCTTCACGTTTACATCCTCCTCCCTGCCGCTCTCTCCTTAGGCCACGTTTCATCCAGGGGGTGCCAGTGTGGGGAGGGAGACAGAATGAGAGTACACATCTGTCTTTGTAACTTTCACGTGGATCACAATTATTTTGATTTGAAAACATTAGGACAGGCCGCTGTCAGAAATTCAGTCTATTAATTGTTACTTTACCTAACGTCCTTCTTTTCGACCTGTCTCCTTTTATGTTCATTGTCATTCACTGGGAGGTGTTGAAGTCTGCAGAGGAAGATGTGTGAAATACTCAGGGAACAAGTCTGGTGGTGGGGCAGGACCAACAGGGGGAGACCGGGGTGGGGGGTGGGGAGGGGGCTGTTGCTTTGTAAGACCGGAAGCAGTTACGATTGCTGGCATGCTGCTTTGAAGACCTTGGTGGCCCTCTGAGGCGCGGATTGGAGACGACGCTGAAATTCTGTGAGTCCTTCCCAGCCTGTTGAGCCCAGCGGTACAGGGGAGCACTTGCTTTTGAAACACGTTAGAGGAATGGAGTTTTGTCTAATAAATCGTAGTCGACCCACTGGAAGCTCATACAGTTTTGAGAGAATTCTAGAAAGAATGCCTCGCGGAACCTGAGTGGCTGACTCTGGGTTGCCGCGGGCACTGAGAATGGATAGTCTTCCTATTTTAGTTTCTTCGGATGCTGTGGGCTCTGTCTCTTCCAACCGCACGCTCCGTCGCCAGGCCACAGGTGGCCGAGGTTCTGTGAAGCAGCTGTGTCCCCGCTCTGACTTCAGCGTGCGCCCAGCCTGAACGACAGCGGGGTGACGCTGTGGCCACCACCGCCGCTCCGCCTCGTCGCCGGCACCTCCCCCGCTCCTGCGGTGTTCACCATCGGAGCGAGGGTGCTCTTTTGCCCCTTTTTGGACGTAATTCCAGACCTAGAGAAAAGGTGCGAGGATGGTGCCAGGAATCCTCCAGGTGTCACGCGGCTCTCCCACAGGTCAGGACGCTGCCACAGCTGCTCACCCTTCTTCCTCACACGCGGTATCTTCCTCAAGTTGAGGACGTTGCAGATGTCTCCTCAGAGTAACATTTTCTTACCTAACCACGGTGCGGCGGCCAGAATCAGAAATAACATCCATGCCGGGCTGTTTTCTGCTCTTTGGATTCCCCTGATGGGCCAGTAATGTCCTTGGAAACGAAAGAACACAGGTCCTGTGTCAGGCTCCGCCGTCTGAGCTCCTGGATCTCTGGCCTCGAGCGGTTCTCCTGTCTGGTCCTCCGTTTTCTTCTCGTCAGCTGGTGGTTTTGCAGACTGACTCCGTTCCGATCGCCGTGCGCATTTGGGCAGGGCTTGCCTGGGTACCTGTGCGTGTCCCGAGCAGGCCTGTCGGGCGACAGGTAGCCTCGGTCCGTCCCGTTCTGGTTTGTTCCGGTGAAATGTTACTAATTTTCCCGTCGTAATCGTTGAGCATCTTGTGAGAGATACCTTATTACTCAGTAAATATCTTAAGTTCTCTCATCAAATGGCCGCCCATCATTTTTGGCATCTTGAGGACTCTTGTCTGAATTTCCTGTTTTTTACCAGGATTGTCCAGGGGTGGTGTTCTCAAGCCTTTTGTTGTTCCTTCTCCATTTTGGTTGGCTTTCTACTGTAAGAACCCTTAATTTAATAGTGTAGACTCTGGGATTCTTGTTTTATTCAATGGGTTGTAGTCCATTACTACCATTTTTTCTCAGTGCTCCGATTGTCCCAGGTTTGGCCAGCGGGAGCCCCTCACGCTGACTCCTCTGGTGAGGCCCTTGGGTCGGCGCGTGGCCGTGTTTTCTGACACAGATGGTATTTAGGCTCCTGCTCCCCAGCTCTGGAATCACCCCATTCTCCAAGAAATTGTGCTTCCTTTTAATGGAGACTGACATTTGGGAACCGAGATCCGGGCGCACAAGTGACGTTTTGCCCATCGCGCTTGTGTGCTGAGCTCCGTGTTTAGAGCTTGGCGGAGGGCTGTGAGCCGCCCTGGCCTGTCACAGGAAGACGGAAGGTGAGACCCAGCCTGCGATAGCGCTGGCTCCGCCAGCAGAGAGTCAGGGTGCCCGGCTTCCTCACACCGTGCTCTTCCTGTGCCCTCGGACCTTCCCATCAGACCAGACACAAAAGCTGATGCGTGCAAAAATTTCAGGAAGAATTCGATATTTGTGTATTTCGGGAAAAATTACTTCTTTAGGAATCGCGTCGTGATTTTCCTATGGATTTTTTTCAAGGACAGACCAGGAAAGTTAGCGTTTACTGGTGACTGACTTGACATTCTGGGGCTGGTCTCCTGGGTGAAGTGTTTTCTCCAAGAGGTCACAGCATGCCCCTCCCTGCAGGGTGTGGTGGTGTTGGCTCTTTGTTGGGTTGAGGGTAGAAACAGTAGGGTCACTGCCTGCCTTTCATCCCTCTCGCATCAGTATCTGCAGATGAAATCATGCACGGAAAAAGGGCATTACTGTTACCTCTTAAAAATACTCTTTCCCTCTCTCGGCCATCCGTTACTTTTTTTGAGAATCCTTTTAGCCCTTGTAAAGGTGCAGAAGAAGTCCACCGATAATGTTGAGCTCCGCTCTGACCCCGCAAGACAGTTCTGAATGACCTTTTAATTCAGACAGAAGATAGGGTCTCTTTACTCTCCTTTTAATTTAGACGAGGTGTTTCCGAGCTGCTGTCCCCTGGGCCACATGTGAGTGTTGGTGTGGCCGAATGGGAACGGGGTGGGGGACAGACAGCTCGTTGCCTTGGCCACACGTCTCCGTCCTTTGTGACAGTCACAGGTCGTCATGTGCTGCACTCGGGCACATGTGCTGTTTGTGCAGGTGTGTGTGTCCCGTGTGGTCCAGTCCGGTGTGCAGCTCTCCTGCTCTCCTTCCTGGGCTGCAGCAAACTCCAGAAGCTGGTCTTGAGGGGCACACCACCAGCTGGGGTGGCTCGGCGGCCACACACGGCATCTTTTTACCTTATCCTTGGTCAACGTTTGCCGGAAACGTCTTTGCGAAGACACGTGGCTCCTCCCTTGTGTGCGGAGACCGTATCGTATTGTGTTTTTAATCACTTCCCCCCCCCTTCGCCTGGCAGGTGTGGCCTCGGCACCCTGTATGGATTTACAAGTGGTGGGTTTCTACTGTCACGTTGCTTGGCTTGGGGGCCTCTTTGCTAGATGCGGCACGTTAGTGTTTTCTGACTTGGGTAGTCTGAGAAGATTGAGGGACGTTTTGTTTTGCCTCAGATGATGGTATATCTCCTCCCCCTGCTGTGTGGACTCACCCGCCTGTGCTGATCCCACGTCTGTGTCAGGTGTAACATGACAGACATTGCCAGGGTGAATTTAGGTGGAGACCTCGTGTCTAAATTTAGTAAATAGGAAAATTCTCTGTTCGTATTCACTATAGGGAGCTTTGAGCTTTGAATGCTATGGGTGACTCTTTTACATCAGAGAGAGGTGTGGAGTTTTGGAACGAAGGCATCTTGTGGGGGGGTTAGGTTGATTTGTGAGTCATTCATGTAGCTCTTACACGTGTCACGTGATGACGACGTGTAGTGTCGCCACAGAGGGGGTCCTCATAGAATCTTTGTGTGGTGTCCGTTTCGTGTGCCAGTCGTTGTTCAACGTTAAGTATTCTTTTCAGGTGTTTGGGGTCATTCGAGTCGTCCCAAGTGCCTTTGAGAGCAGGGCCCCCTGCACCTGCTTCCTGGCTGTCACCGACTGCCTTCTTCTTGGGGGTGGATGGATGCTGCTGAGGCACGTGGCCTTGGATAGTCCACCAGGAAGGGCTTCTAAGCTGACACCCCGTGTGCTTATCATCTGCCCTGGGGTTTGCAAGGGCGTATCCTGTGCCCACTAGGCCTCTCCCTGTCGATGCCAGTAGCTGCCCCCAGGTTGTGACAGCTGGAGGCGTCTCCAGGCTCAGTTTCCCGTGGGGAGCAAACACAGCAGGTGACTGAGCCCTGATCTGCTCTGTGGAATAAGACAGGCAAAGCTCCTTGCAGCACAGAAAGTTACATGACTTTTAATGTCATCTGTAGAGAGAAGACTTTGTAGAGAAAGGTACACGTTCAGGCCACGTTGCCAAGGGCGTGTGGAGTGGTTAGAGTGTGTGCCCCCACCCCTGTGCCCCTTCGTCCCCACCTGCCTCCCGGTTGCCTGCTGACAGCTAGGCTTTGCCTGGGACTTGGAAACAAGTTGACAGAGCAAGGACTCTGTGTCTTCTGGGCCTTCACGGGATGGCCTGGCGGAGCGCATATGTGCTTCACGCAGTGCGGTGGGAGCTGAGAGGACTTCCGGGAGGAGGTGTGGCTCTGGATATGGGTTCAGATAGAAAGAAGAGGCAGAGGTGGCAAGTGGCAGGCTGGTCTAAGCCGAGGGAGCCCCCGTGTCGGGGGGACCTCCGGCAGCACTCGGGGGGCACACCACTGGTGGAGCACGTGGGACCTGAGTGGCCATGGAGTGGCATGGCGAGGTCCTAGGGATCTGCGGGGTGACAGGAAGGCCGGCTGCCGTGACGCTGGCTGTCACACTGGATGGCACGCCTCCCTTAGCCTGGGTTGCTCTGCGCAGGTGACGTGCAAAGCCCCCCGGTGACCGGATGGTGCTGGGGGCACAGGGCCGGGCTGCAGTGCAGGTGCCCGGGGACTAGTCACGTGCTCCTCTCTGCCTCGCTGCGGTGCTCTGCCGCAGGGTCCTCTGGAAAGGCCACCAGCAGCCCTAAATCCCCAAGTTTGGTGGCCGTGTCCTCGTTAGTTGGTGGTCTGCCGGTACCAGATACGCATTTTAACTGCATGGTTTGGCGAGTTCTGACAAACGTGTGTGCCTTGGAAAGCACCACTCACAGTCACGATGTGAACGTCTTCGTCCTGGTGTGTGTCTTGATGCTGTCCGGTGTCTCTTCGGGGCGTTTGACACTGATATTCCTTTCCCGGAATGTTCCCTCCCTGGTGTCTGCTGTGGACCCGGCTCCTCAGCCTTTGCGAGCACTGATTTTGTTTTCTGCTACACTTGACCTTAGCCAAAAGGCCGAGAAGCGATGATGATTTTGCTTTTCGATTGGCATTCTTTTTTCCGCCTGTCCCTTAATTGTTGGGGTTCCCCAAAGGCCTGCCATCTGTTTTATTGGCAGCGGTTAAGCCCTAGCCTGGGATAAGCAGCCCACGAGACCTGTATTCCGTGGTCCTGTCCACGTCCAGGCACACGTCCACCTGTGTGGGCAGCTGGTGGTGCCTGTGCCTCCCTCGCTCGGTTTTCCAGGCAGACTTGTCCTTTTCGTGCCTGGTCCCTGGCAGGCTCACTCCAAGAACATCTGCGAGTGTCCACGGCGCTCCTGGCTCCCTCGGCTCTCACTTCTGGCATCTCCTGCCCGCACTGGTGCACTTAGAGCTCGTTTGCCCGCCCCGCTCCTGGCACCTTCGCGGCGCCACCTGTGGGTCCTCCCTGCTGCGTTCAGGGCTCTGGACCCTTGAACGGTTGGTCTCGAGTCTGCCACTTTCCACGTGCTCTTAGCTTGGGCAATCTGAAGCCAGCTGTGCCTCACCTGTGTGGCTTCGCCTTGGCTCCCCTCTCCATCCCACACCTGCTTCCTCTCGGTTTGTCATGACCCTCCTGTCACCTTGTCCTGGAAGAGGGGCTGTCCTAGAAGCTTCCTTCTACTGGAGGAGAATCAATCCTCTAGAATTAGCTGCCCATTCAGGACTCCCCTTGAATGTCAGTGACCTGGGCAAGACCAGGATTTCTTAAGGACGCAAAATATCTGATAAATTGGACTGGGTTAAAATTTAAAACCTGATCTTCAAAAACCACTGTTAAGAAAACGCAAAGGCTGACTACCAACTGGAAACACATACCTCACAAAGTGTTTCGACCTGTTTATTGCTCGAGCTGGACACCAAATGTGTCTTCGGGTTAATGTTTTAGGAGAGGTTGGTGGAATCTTCCTTTCCCGTTTTTGGGGATTCATGAAAGAAATACTCCCCAAGCCATGAGTTTGCATAGAGAAACGGGTGAAGTGGGTTAGTGCAGACTGGCTTTTTCATGTCATGCGTGTCTGCCGTGTTCACAAAGGAGGCCTGGCCAGCAGATCACACCGCACCCGAGACTGGAGTCCTTCTGCTCCTGGTGCCTGGGTGGCCTGCGCCTTCTTACGCGACTATGGGTCCCCAGAACCTGTAATTAAAACACAGGCAATATCAGCATTTTTAAAACCTACCCCTAGCATTCCAGGGGGCAACCAGCAGCTTTTTGCCAGAGTCCAGAAGGCCCGACAGACCCCCCGGAAAACCCTATTAGCCAACAGTTGACCTCCACCTTTGACTTTTGGGAAGGTGCACGGCCGTCCCCTTGCCGGCTCTGCCCATGTCCTCCCAGACGCGTCGCCTTTCTGGACCTCTTACTTCCCCGCCTGCACTTGGGAGAGCAGGACAGGCAGGGAGGGGGCCCGGCAGGACGGAGTCTGAACAGCGGGTCGTCCGCAAGGTGGGCCACCCGGCGGGCAGCTCCGTGGGAGGGAGTGTTCCTCGTGTGGCAGGAGCTGAGCCAGCTGTCCGAGGGAGGGCTGATTCGGGGGTGCCCGCCGTGAGGGCTGGGGTACGAGAGGCCCGGACCGTGGCAGCCGCTTGGTGGGGGTGGGGTGGGGTCTGGATGATGAAGGAAGGGTTCTTCTGCAGGGACATGAGTGGGGACCGGGTTTGGTGGGACGAGGTGCCGCGGGGCCGGGCAGGTGGGGAAGGCCAGACCCGAGCGCCTGCTCCGGACGCCAGCAGCACAGGGCCCGGTGGTAGAAGGCTGAAGAGACAGCACAGGGCACCCAGAGAAGGTGGGCAGCGAGCGGGGCGGGGGTTGGGGGGGGGGTCCCGAGGCCTGCCGGCAGGAATATAGAGCCCGAAGACATCTCTGGGCCGGTTGGCGGAGGACTGGGGAGACGGCGGGTTCTAGGTAGAGGTGGCAATGGTGCTGAAGGCAGGAGCGCGCGCACCCACGGAGAGGGAAGAGGCAGGCGGCAGAGCGTGGCCCTGCCCCGCGCTTGGTTTGCGGTCGAGCCGGCTGCCGGGCTGCGGACACACAGGGGTGTCGGGGCGCCACGTACCCGGTCGTGAGCGGCAGAGTCGGGCAGGAGGGGAAGAAGGAGGCCCTGTGTGGAAGGGGGGTGCCGTCCCTGGCAGCCGTGCGCCCGTGGAGGCCGTTGGGTCCGGAAGCTCTGGGGCCGTCTGGGTGGCCATCCGTGCGGCCTTGCTTTGTGAGGAAGCACCCAGGAAGGCCCTGCGTCCCAGATGCTGGCCTGACCGCCGCCTGGGTGCCCCCGGGTCTAGGTAAGGGGCAGGAGACTCCCGCGGCCCCGAGTTACAGGGCCTCCAGAGCTCTGACCACGCAGCGTTTGGGTTTATGTGGAAATCGTCGCATGGGGTGAAAACTAGGAATAACACAGGAGTTCCGTCAGAAAACTTGCACTGAATCAGAGCCGCTCTGTAGACTGGGAACGGTATTTGGGAGACGACACCGTTGGTTATTTGTTGGTATTCTAGCAAGTTGCTCCTTGCCACGTTAGCGTAGGTTTCCGTGTTTTAAATGGTTTCTCAGAAGCCTGAGAGTGTCAATATTTCACATACCCTAGGCTTTCACGTCGTCCCAAGTCCGTTCTCCCGACAGGACTAGTTTTTCGTCTGTCGTGCGTGGTCGTTCTGGGTTGCCCCGTGGGGACCCGTGGGCGAGAAGCCCTCCTTTCCCGCCCCGGAAGCAGAGCCCCGCCACGGGGTGAGGCACGCCGGGTCAGGTGGGGGTCGCTGGGAAGATCGGTACTGAACCCCGGGGGCTGTACACCCTTGGGGCGTGTGGTCAACCAGGGGATTGTGCTTCTCTCCTTCCTGACGTGGGACCGTCTTCGCCTCTGTTTCTAGGGCCGTCCTGGTGCGGTTGGAAGGCTGTAGCCATCCGGTTGTCATGAAAGGCTTGTGTGCCGAGTGTGGCCAAGACCTGACCCAGTAAGTCCTGGCAGCTTGCGGGTGGAAGGCGGCACCTCTCCGCGTTGGAGGTGGCACGGGGGCCTCAGGCACCCTGCTGTGTCCGGTGACCCGAGGCAGTCTCTCGGGGAGCTGTCCTTTCTGGCTTTATTTCCATAAGTCCCGAAAGCATGGAGCACGTCGGATGCTCACAGGCGTGCTCGGTTTGCTTTCCCCTCCCCGCCGAGCACGCTGCACATCCTCCCGGGCCCCCCGGGCCCCCCCGCCCCACTCCCTGGGCTCCTTCACCACCAGTGCTGTGCGGTCACGCTCATTGTCTGTGCAGAGCAGCGCAGACTGTCCTGTGTTTGTGTAGGTGAGGGCCTCTGTTGCCGTGTGGCCGTCACAGTTCATTTCCAAGAGACCTTCGTGTTTTGTGAGAACTTGGCCTGTTGTCAGACCCTGGATGGCCTCTCAGCAGCTGGCCGCAGGAGGACGTGCTGCACTGAGCTAGCAGTGAGCCTCACCTGAAGTGTGAATTAAAATCCTACCCTGGAAGCCCCGGGTGCTTTCCGGGCGTGGGTCGTGGGGTCACCCACGGTCCTGCGTGCCTTCTGTGTACAACTCGTTCAGGGTGTTCACGTCTGGCCCTTCTCCCGTGTGCAGGTTGCAGAGTAAGAACGGGCAGCAGCAGGTACCTCTGTCCACGGCCACAGTGTCCATGGTGCACAGCGTCCCAGAGCTGATGGTGAGCTCCGAGGTGAGTCCTGCCTCTGGCGGGGGCGACGTGTCGGACAGAACATCTCCGGAGAACGGCAAGGAGCATGTGTGGGCCTTGTGCCGTGCAGAGGACGGTTGCAGAAAGTGCCGCGTCTGCGGGCGTCATAGCCGCTGGTGGGACCGGTGGTGTGTGAGCAGCGTGCCGCCCCCCCTGCTTCTGCTTTCCCAGAGGGTCCTGCTTACCGGGGATGCGCCGGCCTCACGGCCTTGGAGCCGGGAGCCCTCCCGGGTGCTGTGGCTCACATGGTCCCCCGTGCGTGGCCGGGAGCAGTGGGTCTGGGAGGCCGACCGAGGGGAAGGCCGGAAGCTGCCGGAGGCTGCAGTTTGAGGGCTGGGAGCAGGCGGCTGTGCGTCGGACCTGAGCGGGCAGCGCCGGCGGAGCGGACGTGGGGGCAGGGAGGGGACGGGAGAGCACGCAGTTCGGCCCTCCTGTGGGGCAGTCCCCGAGCATCCCCGTACCCGCGGACCTAGCGCACGAAACCGCCCTTACTTCCCCTGCATTTCAGAAGTCACGCAGGCAGTGTGGGTCAGGGGTGTCCTGACCCCCATTTTCATAGGCCAGGGGTGCAAATGGCGGGTGAGGGAGAGACACCAGGATGAAGCCCTTGATGGGTTGTGCAGAGACTCAGCTCTTGGTGGGGACCAGTCTCCCGGCTGCCCGTTTATGTAGGTGGCGGGTGAAACTTTTTCAGTCACGATTTGATGAGATTTGTGCTTTTAAAAAAATTTATTGAAGTTCTGGTTGGTTAACACACAGTGTAGTGTCGGTCTCAGGAGTAGACTCCGGTGATGCGTCACTCAGGGGCCACACCCAGCGCTCATCCCAGCCCGCACCCTCCTCAGTGCCCGTCACCCACCGGGCCCCTCCCTCACCCACCTCCCCGCCAGCCACCCTCAGTTTGTTCTGTGTGGTTAAGAGTCTGTTGTGGTGTGCCCCCGTCTGTTTTTGTGGACACAACCGGTTTCTTTTCATTTCTTTTTTCATTGGTTTACACGTTAAATCACAGGATTACGATCACAAATCATAACGTCATCAGAGTTTGGACCCAGTGGACTGGCTGGGGAGGCTGGGGTCTGGGCAGCATGGCCCCATGTGCTGTGTTAGCGTGCAGAGAGCCTCGAAGCACCTCTCCCGGCTTCTTTTGGTTTCTCCTGACAAAATCGAATTTTGTTTTGGATCCAGATGTACTTACCGACCTTCCTTTCTATTTCGCTTCAGCAAGCCAAGGAGCTGGGAAGGCAAGACCAGCAGCGGCTACATCGAAACAGGAAGCTGGTGCTCATGGTCGACTTGGACCAGACGCTGATCCACACGACAGAACAGCATTGCCAGCAGATGTCAAACAAAGTGAGCGGCCCCAGCAGCTCCTCTCGGCGATGCTTCTTGGGCCAAGGAGGCTGGCTGGGGCGGGAGCCCAGGGCCCATGCTCCCAGGGCCATTTCCCCTAGCTGGTCCCCACCGGGAGGTGCCGAGGCACGCTCCCACCCTCCGGTGCCTGGTCCACACGTGGTCCCGTGAATCAGGAAGGTTGAGGGTTCGGGGCCTGGAGGACCCAAGGCCCAGTGGTAGACAGTGGGGTCGACGGCAAGGGAGGAGTGGTCCGGGGGGGACACAAGCCGGCAACACCTCTGGAAATACCTGGAACACTGGGGGCGGGGGTGCAGGTGGGTACCTGGGCCTGCACTCACGACAGCAGATAGAGGCTGGGTCCGCTTTGCATAAATCCTTCCGGGAAATTAAATTTCCAGAGAAAGTAAAGAGTCAGGGGCGGAACCCTGTTTGAGTATACGTCGAGCCTCTTCCCACCCTTCGCTCCTTTCCTCTGTATGGAGCCTGGGGACTTAAATTTCTGGCCCCTCCCCAAGGCATTGAGTCGTGCCCGTTACGGATGGCTGTCTGAAGGCTGGCACCATCTTCTGCCTCCTTGACTAAGGAGGCCTCACCGGCGTGGACGTGGTCAGTTATTTAAAGTCTTTGTTGGTGGGGTTGATGTGCAGACCGTTGTCGGTGCCTGCAGGTGTCGGTTCCTAGCTGTGGCTGCGCGTGGTGGGAGAGCCTCTGACAGGCCAGCATCCGGGGATGTGAGACCCCAAGGGCAGCAGGACAGGTCTGCTCGTGGTCCCGGGATGGGCGTGTGTCTTGGGGGGGTTCGCTGCAAACTTTTCTCGGAACACACCAGGCCGTTTTAGTTTGGCCTCGTGAATAAATCCAGTGACACAGGCGCAAACGTGGACCATCTCCGCTAGTCCCGTAGGCCGCAGAGTCACTTCCGCCTCCGGACGTTGCTGACGGTGAGGACTGATCTCCTACTCGTGAGCGGAGAACTTGTCCTCCAGCAACATCCTTGTCACTTCAGTTCTGTCTCCCATAAAACAGCGTGTATTTTTTTTTTAAGTTTATTTGGGGGGGGGGGGGGGAATCCCAAGCAGGCCGCACTGTCAGCACAGAGCCCAACATGGGGTTCAAAGTCACGAACCATGAGCACATAACCTGAGCCGAAATCAAGAGTCAGACGCTGAAGTGACTGAGCCACCTAGGAGCCCCAACAGCACGTGTTTTAGTTGTATTAGCACTTTTTTGCTATCGTTACATCTCGTGTCACCATATATTTTTGTGTGCAGCATAAGGTGTTAGTAAATACTCTGCGACTGTTTCATTCATAACAACTCTGCTTAATTATCTTACAGCTGGAGGACTTCAGGGGCGCCTGGGTGGCTTGGTCGGTTGAGCGTCCGACTTTGGCTCAGGTCATGATCTCATGGTTTGTGAGTTCAAGCCCCACATTGGACTGCTTGCTGTCAGTGCAGAACCTACTTCAGATCTGTCTCTCCCTCTCTCTCTGCCCCTCCCCTTGTCTCTTTCTTTCTCTTTCTCTGTCTCTCTCTTTCTCTCTCAAGAAATAAACATTAAAAAAAGAGTTGGAGAACTTTATGTAAAGCAGTAGTTTCTGCACGTATGTGCTTGTGTGTACGTGGCCATAACCGGCTCTGGGCTTCATTGTGCCTTTGAAGTCGGCACGTTTAATTCATTTCACAGCAGTTTAAACTCGTCGTAACATGCCTGTTCCTCAGCTTGTGTGATCTACAAGGTGAAGGTCTCCTCCCATCCACGTGGACGGGCCTCAGCTCTGGCTGGCCTCCATGGCTCCACCCCCACCCATGCCCACAGGTTACCTGCGGGCCGGCTCTGCCCAGCACTCAGGTGTGCACCCGCACACCTGTTGTGACGTCTAGAAAGATGTGTTTAACTCTTCACTTTGGCAACCTGAACTTGTGTTTTTAAGGACGTTTATATGCACCTGTGGAGGACACGGAATGTGATTTCTAGAATTCCATACTCCAAAACGTTTTAACAGAACAGCTGCTTCATGAAGGGTTTGACCACTTTAGAGCTAGTAAAAAGTAAGCCCAAGGTCGCTTACTTTTAGTTTTCAGTGTTTCAGAGTTCTCTTACTGAGAAGATTAATGATAAATAGGGATTAAAAGGATCAACGTTTAGTTTCCTAAGGAAAATAAGTTTCTTTGTATATTAATGACATGTAACTTGTTGGCGTTACTAATCTTACCTGTCTACTAAAAGTGGTTTGAAATACTGTTTCAGGTTTGGTGTTGTATTTGTAAGTTAGTAAACCCATATCTTAAAGCAGTCACTGAGCCAGACTAAGTTCCGTGGGACTGTTTGGTTTACTCCCATCAGTACTTGGGGGGGGGGGGATCATGCGTGGATCACCGGAGACCTGTTCTAAGTGATCCGCCGTGGCCGAGCTATTTGGCAAGTGTTAGGGTTTGAGGACACAGATCCTTGCTTTGCTGTTAACAGACAAAGACCACGGTCCAAACGGTGCGAGGATCTGCTGACACCGCTGAAGCCCGTGGTTGCCGAACGTGGTGACCGTGGCGGTTCATCACAGGCAGCGACGTGGGTGGGTTCGCTGCCGGGACCATCACTGACAGTGTCTTGGGTGGTTACCGCGGGGGGTGGGGGGCGCAGCCTGGAGGTGCCGTCCAGGCGCCTCATGCCTTCTCACCGGGCACGCCTGTTCTTCCAGGGTATCTTTCACTTCCAGCTGGGCCGCGGCGAGCCGATGCTGCACACGCGTGTGCGTCCGCACTGCAGGGAGTTCCTGGAGAAGATCGCCAGGCTGTACGAGCTACACGTCTTCACGTTTGGGAGCCGGCTGTACGCTCACACCATTGCAGGTGGGCGGCTCAGTCCTCGGTCACCCGTGCCGACTCACGCATCGCGTGGGCGTTGTCCCCAGCGGGTTAGGTCTCTCTTCATTTTCAGTGACATCCTTAAAGACAAGGGGACACACGAAGCTCTCCCAGGCTCCTTTCCAGTCCCCGAGCTAGCTCTTGCCTCCCGAAATGGGCAGGCCACCCCTGCTCTGGTCAGGCGCACGCCGCGGGCTGGTGTGAAGGTTGCTCAGCACTGCAGCTGTGTGGAAACGTAGAAACTTGCTACGTAAGCCTTCTCAGGGTATTTTTGTTTTGGTTTGGAAATACCTCTGGAGCCATGTTGCTTACTGATGCTCTAAGTGCAGGTAAAACGATTGTCTCTTATTTGTAAATGAATGTCGTGGTGACTTAGTGTTAACCTGTTGTCTTGGTGCAGCTTAGTGGTTGTGTGCTGGCCGTGCGTGTGCCTCGTGTGTGCATAGGTGTCCCTGGTGGTGCCCACCAGTGGCCCGTCTGGCTGGGGGCGGAGCCCCGAGCCCGGCCTTCACCCCGCCCAGGGGCAGCTGGGGCCCGGTCCGCCCTGACCGACTGGATGTTGGCACCTGCATTGTAGGTGCTCACAGCTCCTTCGTGGCCAAATAAAGTACTTCCGAATGGAAATATTTTTACGGGTTGGTTTTGGTCTTTGTTGACGGAGAAATGACTTCCGAATCCTCCTCTACACCTAGCGCCCCGTAAGAGGTTGTTACCACGAGCACATTGGCTGTGTGTGGAAGTTCCTTCCTCGTGCAAGAAGGAACTTTCCTGAGATGCGAACGTGGTGGGACCACTCCGTGGAACTCTCGTACCAGTCGTACCAGTGAGCACCAGCACCCTGGGTGGAGGAGCGGTTAGGTCCTCGGGTACCCCCCTCAGGCTGCCTCCTGGCACAGGACGACTTGCCCTTCCCCTGCGGAGCCTTGGCATCTCTCTGGACCTCCATCAGGAGGACCTGCATGGGGTAGAGAAGATAACACCGGTGTAAATAGAAGGGCTTGGGGGAGGCGTCCCTGGCAGTCCAGAGGATGTTCCCGGGGGCCTCAGCCCTCCAGAGCGAGGCCTGCCTCAGGCCATCGGCGCCCTCTGCGCCTCACGTGCTTTGTGCCTGAGAGTCCACGTCCAGAGACGTGGCAGGAAGTTCCCCTTCCCGTGGGCCAGCATCCCCGCACGGGCGGGTGCAGAACCCCTCGGCCGAGCAGCACTGAGTCCGGGGGACCCACAGTCACCGCGTGGCCGCCTCCAGCACGGGCGATGGCACCGCGCACGCAAGAGGCCCTGGGAGGAAGCCCGAGGGACGAGTGTCCCACGTGGCTTTGAGGTGGTCGAGCCTTCAGAGGGCAGGACGCTGGCACAGGCAGGCCCTGGGGCCGGGTGGGTGCATTCTGGCACCAGGTGGGTAGACTTGCTCGTTGGCAGGAGACTGCTGGGGCCCTGCCGTGGTTTTTCACCAGTTTCCAGCCATGGTTTCTACACCTTCCTCTTCCTGTCACCTTTCACGTTCTGAAAGTTCTCGCTTTCACGGAGTGTATGTTTTTAGTGTAGTTAGGACACGTCTCTTTTTATTCGGATAAAACCGTTAAGCGTTTGAGGTGCTTTTCACTTACTGTAGAGATTCCAGTAATTCTATGAGAATCTTCAGGTTTAGCCACTGAGTGACATCAGTGTTCGTATGGGACTTACGTTTTTCTTACTTAGTAAGGATGTACATTTGGAACGTTTCTTCTCTGAGTCAGTGTTGTTTGTTCATAAGCGCACAGATTTAAACCCTTTAAGTGCTGCGTGGAAGGCCCTGTGCACGGCGGCGTGGGGCACGTGGTGCAGACACCAGGGCCCTGGGGCGCACTGGCTTTGATGGGGGGTGTCTGGTGGTCCTGGGGTCCCGGCCGACAGCGAGTTGTGGAGGTGGGCTGCCGTGCCCGCCTTCACAACGATGAGGGGATACACCCTGAAAGGGTCTCCAGAGGACGCGGCCGTATCGCCGGATGGGCACGAAGCTGCCCGGCGCCTGGCTCACTGCTTCGCAAACGGCCGAAGGTGCGGGGAAGCTGCACGTGGCGGCACAGCCGGACTCTTCAGTCCCGGCGCCCCACACGCCACAGGCCGTGTTCACGTGTTTGTCGCCCCTGCGCACCGCGAGCATCCCCGGGGCGTGTTGCTGAGCTGTGTTCATCTTCTGTTCTCAGCCAAGTCCCAAGTAGTGTTAGATTCAGTAAACGTTCCGCAAACTCATGCCTTTAAACACAGTAGAAGGAACCGCGAGTGAATCACAGTCCTACCAGGAAAGACGAGGGCGGTGGGTGTCCGTGTGTGACGCTTTGTGTCCCTGCTGTCCTCACAGCACAGTAGGGGCTTCACCACCTGCAGAGCAGGACATTCACGGCTCACGTGTCTGACCTTCATTTTGTTTTCTTTCCAAAGGCTTTTTAGACCCTGAGAAGAAGCTTTTTTCTCATCGAATATTATCGAGGGATGAATGTATTGACCCATTTTCTAAAACAGGAAACCTTAGGTACGTACCTGGTTGTATTCATCTCCGGGGCTCACTGGGAAGTTTGTGGTGGAGAGAGCACCAGACCCGTGATTCTGGGTTTATTCCCCCCATTCCTTCGTCCCCCGCCCCCCGCCATGGCACCCAGAAAGCCTGCTGTGTTACCACCACAACCCTGCCTCCCCCACTCCCCGAGGATCCAGGCAGTGGTGGGCTCCTGGGGTGGGGCTTGGCTGGGGCCCCAGAAGTCGGGGGTCTGGGGAGGGCAGCTGAGAACAGGGCTGGGACGTGAGGGATGAGGGAGGTGACAAGCCAGGGGATCGGAGCCCTCCCAGGCACCACAGCTTGAGAAGAGGAGGGGCTGGTATTTCCTTAGGGGCTTGCACGCTGCGAGTCCTGCTGGTTCGTCAGATCTGGAGTCACGTTCCCACCTCTTCCCGGCACCGCCATGGGCCCCTGCCTGTCCCCCCTCTACTCTTAGAGTGGGCGCTCCCACCCCATCCAAAGGCTCCTGGACATTTTAGGACTTGGCCCATTTCTCCCCGGAAAGACCGCCCCTGCCCCCCCATCCTATACGGCATCAGTTGTAGTTTGTTTCCTTGTATGTTGCTTCCTAAGGATACCTGGGCAGTGACAGCGAGGCCTGTGGCCTTCTGCCTGGGCTTCCTCAGGGAGTGTTCCATGTTTCAGATTCAGGCCCCCCCCCCCCCCGCCCCGCCTCACCTGCCGCCCCAGACCTATTGGAGACCGTAGGAGCCAAGAGGAGAATGAGCACTCCTTTCAGAAACAGATACTGCGTTTGCTAGTTAGCATCACACTGATGAAAACAAAGAACGATGGGCGGTGCTGTCCCTCCCGTGACTGACTCGGGGGTGGGGGGAGGCTGCCTACAGCAGCAGCACTGGAGAAAGGTGGCCCGATCCCTCCCCGGCAGGTGACCGGCACGTGGCTCACGGAGGTGCAGGCAGCAGGGCTCTCTTCCCAGTTTTTATCTCCCTCATCTAGAGTTACAGGTGCCAGAAAGCATCAACTCTGTTGTTATTTTAGCTGCCATGTATTTTGCCTACGGGAAACAGACTCCGAGTGATAATAATTTTGGACACGTGAACGTGCGTACCTGGGTGCCTGTAGCCGTCAGCCACTAGAGAACGGAATGGTGGGAGGCAGTCCCCCGAGTTTATTTCCAGATCTGAGAACAAATTCGCTTAGAATTTTGAGTCCTCCGAGCTCGCCCGAAGCTCAGAATTGTGGACAGAAATAGAATTTAACAAGGCTGTGTGAGGGTACCAGGACCCTTGGTAACGTTTCTGCTGACCCCGCGCATTCTAATAGTATTTTTGGACTCAAAAAGAGACCACGCAGGCGCGCTGCAGGAGACCGTTGTCTCAGATAGCTGAGCTGTGAGGTCATGTCCTCCCGCCTTGACCTGGAAGCCTTTCCCCGTGGAGGGGCAGCAGCACGCTGGCCACTGGCTCGTTAACTTGCTTTTGTAAATGTGTTGGGACGTGGCCGTTTGCGCAGTATCTGCCGGCTGCCCGGGATGGGGGCACGGCCCCCAGACGCTAACCTCTCTGCGCCGTGGCTCCGCCTTGAGGAACGTCACAGACGGTGGAGAAGGCGTAGCTGCTGTCATCTGACTTCACCTGGGAACTTTGAGAGTTTAAATAGGAGCTAAACCAAAGTCCTGCAGTGCGATTTCCGGCTGTCTCTGATGAATCTGTGACCTACTGACTGCTAGAAAAGATTATCGTGACTCTGATTATTTTTCGTAAAATGTGCTAGTTCTGGTGCATTTTTACTTCCAGAAATCTCTTTCCCTGTGGAGACTCGATGGTGTGCATTATTGATGACCGGGAAGATGTCTGGAAGTTTGCCCCCAACCTGATAACCGTGAAGAAATACGTCTACTTCCAGGGCACAGGGGACATCAATGCTCCCTCTGGGTCACGGGAGTCCCAGGCGAGGAGGAGAGGTGGGTGACCTGGTCGGGAGAGGAGTAGCTAGCCCAGACCTCCCTGCGTGTGTCCCGTGTCCCATCTCTGCCGTGGCTGCTGTCAGTCCGAGATTCACTCTGTCGTCATCTGTGTTTCAGTGGTTGAGACCGACACCCAAACCAATGTTTGGTTTCCACTTGGGTTTTTTTTTTTTTTTTTAATAGCACTAATCTGAGTATTTTCGTAATTGAATAAAGATTAAGGAATTTGCTTAGTTTAGTACATCTGAGACTTGTTATCCTGGTTCTCTTTCTTTTTTTTAATATTTTCATTTATTTACTTTTGAGAGAGAGGAGAGAGATCGTGAGCAGGGGAGGGGCAAAGAGAGAGAGAGAGATACAGAGAATCCCAAGCAGGCTCCATGCTGTTGGCACAAAGCCCGAAATGGTGCTCGAACCCACAAACTGCGAGATCGTGACCGGAGCCAAAATCAGGAGTTGGATGCGTAACCGACCGACCCCCCGGATGCCCCATCCTTGTTTCTGAGAAGACAAGCAGGACGCTGGGAACTTGGCCATCGCGGTCCTTAGAAAGCATGAGCTGTGGGTTGTAGCACCTCCAGCTCCTTGGTGGGTGGCGCTGTGCCCTGGCCCAGAGCCTTCAGGGTGCCACACGGCTTCGCTTGTCTGGTGAGCTTGAAGCCAGAGTCTGTCTGGAGAAAATCCAGAGTTTTGGTTGGAAGTGTTTCTGATGATCTTCAGTTCATGAGATGTTCTGAGGTGGGCAGTGATTGCTGGAGGTGCAGGCCAGGAGAAGGTGGGACCTGAGGGCGTTCCTGCGGGGCACAGATGGGATGGCACGGCCAGAGCAGGGCTGGGGGTGCCGCCCACGGGCTGTCCACCCACAGCGTGGAAACCAGCAGTGTTCTGTACGTTTTTAAACCACTGTAAAAAAACAAAACCAAGTGGCCATCTGTGGCCACAAACCTGGAATATTGGCTGTCTGGTCCTTCCAGGCCACAGGCTGCCAAGCCCAGGTTGGAAGCGTGGTGAGAGCAGACGCAGGGCGCACTGCCATTGCTCTGACAAGCGAACGTTAAATACCGGTCCCCTTCCCTTTTGTGTGCACCTGTAGTGACTCAGTCTTCTAAAGCTGCCGACGTCGCGGAACACGCTCCGTCCGTCAGGGAGACCGAGGAGGGACGGCAAATCCCTGGGGTCGAGCAAAGTAACGGCCTTGGGAAGCCCACGAGGGAGCTCAACGGGGGTGTCTCCCCACGGGGGGGCTGGCCCCTGCCCGGGCAGGAGGAGGACAGAGGCGCCCGGCCCACCACCCACGGCCCCTTGGCTGATGGCAGGGGACCCCCAGCATGTGCTCAGCCGCACGGTCGGACATCGCTGGAAAAGCGGCCCGCTCAGGGCACGGCAGGCGGTGACCTGGACTTTGACCTTTCCAGTGACAGCGAGTCGGATGCCCAGTCGTCCTCTGAAGGCGAAAGTGGGGAGAGGAAGGGCCTGGAAAGGCCTCAGGGCTCACGAGATGCAGGGAAAGTGGCGCAGCGGGGAGGCCCTCCTGGTCCGGGAGGGGAGAAGCCTGCGGGAGCCAGTCCGTGTGGAGAGTCTGCCCCGGGCGAGCATCTGGATGTGCAGGACGAGGACGAGCGGGACGGCCTCTGCGGGCTGGGCGGGGGCTCTGCGGACAGGAAGGAGGCCGAGACCGAGTCGCAGAACAGCGAGCAGTCGGGCATCACGGCGGGTGAGTCCCTGGACCAGAGTGTGGAGGAGGAGGAGGAGGAGGAGGAGGACACGGATGAGGACGACCACCTGGTCTACCTGGAGGAGATCCTCGCTCGGGTGCACTCTGATTACTACGCCAAGTACGACCGCTACCTCCGCGGGGACAGCCAGGAACCCCCCGACATACGCAAGATCGTCCCTGAGCTCAAGAGCAGGGTGCTGGCAGACGTGGCCATAATATTTAGCGGGCTGCACCCCACAAACTTCCCCATCGAGAAGACGCGGGAGCATTACCACGCCACAGCCCTTGGAGCCAAGATCCTCACTCAGCTGGTGCTTGACCCCGATGACCCCGACAGGGCCACCCACCTGATTGCTGCGAGGGCAGGTAAGCGCCCGTGCCCCAGTCCTGCCCGTGGTGCCCCCGGTGCCGAGCACATCCGCGTCGGTCTCGGGTGACCGCTCTTCGAACGAGCACATCTGCTCGTTTCGTGCGGAGTTTTCAGAAGTTTGTTTCTGTGCCCGTGTGGCATTGTGTGGGTGTGTGCTGTGCACGTGTGCCTCCCGGTCACCGCCACACGCTCCCTGTAGTCGGGCTCCTTCTGGAGTGGGCGGCGCCCGCGGGTCAGGTGAGCGTGAGGGGAGCCTAGTTACCGGTCGTCTGGGTGCTCGGTTCAGCGGGTGAGAGGGCGGCTGAGCCTGGGTTTGAAAACCGGACACGGGTTCAGGCGGGGACCGAGTAAGTCAAAAGGGATCGAAACCCGAAAAGTGAAAATTAAAGTCGTTCTAGGAAAGTCCCTCTCAGATGCTCAGGCTGCAGGAATTTCAGCCAACAAAACGGGCCTCCCCGCCCGCTCTCTCCCCCCCAGTAATGGGCGGAGTCAGGAAAAACCACCTGGTTGCTAAAAGAAAAAAACAAAACAATTACCGTTTCTGCATGGTCCTCACAGACTGCAGCGTGGTGTTTTCTGAGCAGGGATGCCCCCGATGCTCCAGGCCGGGGCCTCCAGGTGGCAGCCTACCCACGGGGCAGGCTTCCCCAACAGGCCAGCTCTGTCCCTGCGTGCATCACATCCTGTTTGACGGTCGCATAAAGGGGCAGATGGAAGGAAGCTCCATGTTGGTGTGAAATGTTGGGAGGTCCTAACTGGGAGGGGGGCCGGCTCATGGCAGCCCCCGCACCCCGTGTGTGCAGTGAGCCCAGAACCCCCGCCTGGGCGCAGCAGGTGTCCCGGCTGTCTGTTAGCCATTCCAGGGACACAGCTGCATGCACGTCGGGGAACACTGCATGCCTCCCTCCCAGCCTGCACCGGGCCTGTCCATGCTTCAGCCCGGCTGTGCCTGCCCTACCTGGGCTACAGTGGGTGCAGGGGTGCTGAGTGGGGCCCTGAGCATCCAGCAGAGAAGCAGAGATGAGACGCAGCTGGAAGGGCATCTGGGCAGCGTTCCTGCAGCAGCAAGCTGGGGGCATTTGCACACATCAAGTGCACGGTCTCAGGGAAGAGTCCTTGGGCAGCTGGCTACAGGTCACGGGGGCAGTGGGAAACTCCCCACGGAAACAGATGGGCACCTCCTGGCAGGGGTGAGGGGGTCTAGCGAGACCCCACGGCGGGCCCCTGCTTCGTGGGGCGGGCCAGGGGCCAGCAGCACGGACAATGAGATCCCGGATTTGAGACACGTTGATTGTGGCAGGCAGAGTGATTCAGGGCTGCCCCTTGCCCGCGGCCAGGCTGGAGTGTCAGGCTGTCCCCCCCCCCTGCAGGCACAGAGAAGGTGCGCCAGGCCCAGGAATGCGGGCAGCTGCACGTGGTCAACCCCGACTGGCTGTGGAGCTGCCTGGAGCGCTGGGACAGAGTGGAGGAGCAGCTGTTCCCGCTCAGGGCTGACTACGGCCGGGCCCAGAGGTGAGTGCCGCGCCCGCTACCCACCTCCCTCTCCCCTGGGGTCCCCACGACCCAGGCCGGGCCCTTGCTGCCGGGCCGGCGTTCCCAGCCCTGCCGAGCACGCGCTGTGCAGAGTAGCTGCCTGCGCTTTGTCCAGACGGTGCCACGCGGCCTTAGGTCTTAGCAGGGAATCTCGGTTTGCCTGCATTTCCTTCCTGGCCTTGGGGCGGTGTCGTGAGCCACGTGGAGGCTTCACGAGTGCCAGCAGCGTGCCAGCGGCAGAGGGATGGTGAGGGGGGGAGAGGGGAGCCTGCCGGGCCTGGTGGTGCTGCAGAAGAGGCCCCGTCTATGCATTTGCAGGGGGAAGGCCTGTTCTGTTGAGAATGGCCTGAGAAAACACCTCCTGTTCTGTGTCTGAGCTTGTTTTGGGGTAAAGTTCGGAAGCGGGCGTCGGGGGGGTGGGGACCGCAGGCCCCGGCTGAGGTTCCAGGCAGGTGCTGGGCATAGGCTTTCGCTTGTGGCCCCGCTAAGCGGCGGTTGCTGGGTGTTTGGGTCTGTTCCAGTGCTTTCTCGGCCCTTGTTCTGGTCCTGCAGGGAGGATGGCCCCGCAGCCTTTCCCGACAGGCAGGGTGCACTTCCGACCGCCTTGTTCCACCCGACGCCCGTCCACCCCAGGGCCCAGTCTGGGCCGGAAGTTCGCATCTACGATGCCAACACGGGCAAGCTCATCCGGAAAGGTGCTGTGGGCCCCGGGCCCCCCAGCTCCCTGGCGGTCCACACGGAACACTCCTCCTTCAGGTACATGAGCTTGGGGCGGCCGTGCAGCAGCAGGCGGCCCTCTGAGCCCCTGAGACTGCGCACACGTTGAGAGTGGACCAAAAGTGGTGCTGGCGGGACATGAAGTTGGGGTTTGCTCTGTCCTGCGTTGGGGCTGGGCTCACCCGCTGTGGCATCGGCTTCTTGCACAGTCTGTCCCGTCTTGGGCCCCGACCCTGGAACAGGTCGGGTCAGGGTCTAGCCGGTGAGATGTTCTGCGCACCCCAGGCACGCTCTCACATTTGCCCGGCGCTGTCTCCGACAGGCCGTTCCGTCTGCACATTGGACCCGTGCCCAGATGCCGGCCCACCTCCCCAGCCCGACCCCATGGTGGTGGCGGAGGAGCCAGCTCTGGGCACCCCCTGGTGTCTGGTCCTGCTTCCTGCCGAGATCTGAGTGAGGGAGGTGGTGGCTGCTCGTAAACGGGAACGGAGGGGAGACTCTTCACTGGGTCAGTCCTGCGCTCCCCTGTCTTAAGTCTGAGGATTCAGGACACGCTCTTTGCCCGCTGGCACATTCTGTGTGTCACGAGAGTTCGTTTCTACTGCTGAGATGGTGAGCTCACCCCACTTCTGCGGTCCCTCCATTTGAAAGGAGCCTGACAGGTGTGCAGGACGGTGGGGTTCAGGCCGCTGTCGAGGCTCTGGGGAGGCTGGTGTCGGGCCAGGCCATGGGGGCCATCTGGGCAGGGCAGTGTCGGGCCCGGCCACGCGGGCACAGGTCTGCAGAGGTGAGGTCAAGGGAGCCACTCCCGTGAGGTCCGAGGTGGACACCGGGGCCCAGGAGGCCTGAAGACAGGGACAGGATTAGCGGAGATCTTAGAGGTGTTTCTGATAAAGTTCTGGTCAGAGGCTGTTAGACACACTGATGGACCATGGTGCCAGCTCGGCCGGAAGCCAGCATGGCAGCACGAGAAACGTGTGGCCCCGGAGCTGTCAGGGGCAGCCAGGGAGGCCTGAGGGGAGCCTCAGCCCAATGCAGCACCAGAGATGCGGTCCAGGTGGAGGCAGGTGTGAGTGGACGCTCCAGGAGAGGAGACCGGGGCAGGAATGGGGGGGGGGGGGCGGTCAGGAGAACAGGACTCAGTGCAGTCAGCTGGCAGACCACTTACAGGTGGCCACCTCCGTGCTGACCGGCAGGTCACGGGACCGAGTGCACTCGTTCTGCTCAAGGAGCATAGACGGTTCTGCGCCCCCTTAGCCAGCGTCTCCCCTGGGGCGTGTGCCCCGGATCGTGCGGTGGCCCGTGGCCTGCCTCTTACGGGTCTGATCCTCCTGCTGACGGCAAACAGTCCTGGAAGCTGTGGTTGGGAGGCCCCGACACGGTGGCCCAGCTTGTGTGGAGCAAAGCCAAACGCAGGGGCTGCGGGGGCAGAGGTTGGGGTTTGAAGCTGTCGGCACAGCTGGGGCTTGGGACAGGGCCTTTTCAGCAACGCCGCTGAGTGTTGGTGCTGAGACACGCCCGGTGAACGTCAGTGCTAGTAGCGCACGTGCTGGTGCAGGACACTGGGGTGCGGTGGGAAGGCACGTGGTGGGTGGGAAGGTGGGGCGTGAGCCCCGTGCCTGAGTCCGTGGGGCTGTGGGATGCCGTAGTGCCAGCCTTCCCCGTGTCATGCTTCTTGGGGAGAAGGCGTTCACGCAGGCGGGTGAGGGGAACGTCACTGGGGCGTGCCCGAGTTTCTTACCCTTTCTCGCAGGCAGTGCTGTGACCCTCTGTACTGATGTCTCCACTGCCAGGCTCAGCCAAGATGGGCTGCAAGGGGTGGTGTTTCCCCTGCACCCTGGGCGGCTGGTGGTCCTGAGTCGGGTTTGAGGGGTTTGTGGACCATAGGACTGGGGTGGGGGTGTGTCCTGTCTTCAAAACTGTGCTGCAGCGGCCTCAGCCTTCGGTGTCCACACACTTCCTCGTGGGCTGTACAGTTGACAGCCCCCCGAGACCGCCCCGCGAAGCCCCCCACCGGGCCCCCTCGGAGGACTAGCGCCTGACTTCGAGCGGAGCGGTAGGGCCCGTGCCGCTCACGGGGTACGAGCTGTGGGCCTCCGTCAGGCACCTAGAGCCCCCTCCTTGGAGAGGCGTGATGCCGCCCTTGGGATGGTCGTGTGGTTCAGGTTCTTTTCGTGGGTGACATTCTGCAGGGAGTTGTGGCGCGCGTCACGGGGCGGCGTGTGCGTTGAGAGCGCACACGGCACCTGACTCACAGCTTCCGGTCCTCTCGTGGTGGAAGGAGGCCTGAAATCCACGCCGTACCGATGTTCACGTGTTCAGGTTCTTTAGAACCTGCTTTTCGTGCCGTTGAAGGTTCAGTAGCAAACCTTTGAGTGAGTCGTAAGTGTAGACAACAGACGTTTGGAACGTTTCAGACTTAGGTTCAGAACGGTTTGGGGTCGTTCGGCCTTGCTCGAAATCAGTGGAAGGATGCAGGAAATCCAGGACGTGGGAGAAGAAGTGGCGGGGTGTTGTCTGAGCACACGTGCAGGTGGGGAGTGAACGTGAATAGAGCGGAACGCTGCGCTCCTTGAACGCTGGCGGTCGAGCAGCACACAACTGCCCTTCTGTTCTGACGGGTGTGTGTGGCGCGTGTGAACAGTTTCAGATGACTGAAAACCCAGCGTTTCAGCTCCGTCTTCTTGGAGGAAAACACACTGAGCTGTGGTTTATTCAGAGGTGGCTCTCGGTGAAATTTTCTTTTTTGAACTCGGAAGCGTGGTTTCCGCCAAATGTTAACTGAATCGTGGCCGGTCCGTGTAGGTATGCGGAAGGTTATTAACAGCGACCATTGAATCTTACTGATCCTGGAAGGGTGGTGGGAAGCACCGCTGTTTCCAGACCAACGTGTTACCCTGCTGTGGTCGATTCCATCAGGGGCAGCTTGAGGCTTTTTTAAGTAACTCTTGTCACCTTGTGTCAATTGTACTTCCTTTTTTGTGTGTAGGAAACCATATGTTCTAGAAATAGCGACTGTCGGTAGAATTTATGGATAGTTCTGTTTTCAAAATTGACGAAATGACACACAGGGAAGGTGACGCCCATCTCAGCAGCAGTCTAGAACTCAGCGGAAAGGGGAACAGGAGGGGACCGAGCACAGGCGCTCACGGGCATTGTGGGGTTGCTCATGACCCCATGCGTTGTTTCGTCTTTGTGGCCATAGAGTAAGGTCTTCCTTTCCATTGAGACCTGTTTATTTGATTTCACGTGCCCCACACGCCTGTGTCCGTAATCCTCCCGGCACCCGCGGCCACCGGGACATCCACACCCCCAGGCCTCGCAGATGGAACCGTGGGCTGCCGGGCCCCTGCCCCTGTGTGTCCAGGGCTGCAAGAAGGAGGGCCCCGAGATCGGTGGCTCGGCGCCATTCTGAGCCTGGAGCCCCACGTAGACCCCATTGTGACAGGCCGCCTGGAGCTGTGGGCGCGGACACCGCTCCGTGCACTTGTCTGAGGCCCTGAGGATTGTGGGTGTCTGTTCTCTTTGTTTTGATGTTTTTGGATCTGGGCTGGGGACCCGCCTAGAGGTCAGAGCTCCTTGGGGCTCTCCCACTGTTGTGGACGTTCGCGAGGGCATTTCTTCTCCCCCGTGAGATACCCGTGTGCAGAGCGCTCAGGGACAACGTGGGGTAAGAACAGGCTTCGTCCGGTTGCCGGGTGCAGTCTACCTCAGGCTTCCGCAGGCGGGACCCTGGTGGGACCCTGGGGTGCAGCGGTGAAGGGGAGGCCTGGTCTGGGGCAGGGGTGGGGCAGCCAGGACCACAGAGGAGCAGGGAGCGCTCGCCAAGCTGTCGTCAGACCTTCCCTCTCTCCCTGCAGGGATGGGGCCGCAATTCTGAATTCCTTTTTGTTTACCCATCGTTAAGGTGTGTTGTTAGTTGTGAGCATTTGGGGTTCTTTTATTAGAAGTTGTAGTTTGAGGTCACTGTAGACCCACAGGCAGTTGTGAGACGTAACAGCGGCCCTGTGTGCCCTTCACCCAGTTTGCCCGGCATCTTGCAAACCTGTAGGCCCGTCTCACGGCCTGCTGGCCTGGCCGTTGTTCTGACATGGTCAGAGCCTCCACCGGCAGGGGGCCCCTGACGCCCCTCCCCTTTCCACCCCCTTCCAGCGCGCCCCCCCCACCCCACTCACCGCCCCTCCCTGGGGTGTGGCGCACACAGGCGCTGTGTACGTGACCCCCACTTGCATCCGTCTCCACTGCTGCCGCATTGCTGGCTTTCTCTTGGCTGCAGCGTCCTGCTGAGGGAGACAGCAGGGGCGTGTCTAGCCTGGGTCCTGGCCAGGAAGGCTGCTCCCAGCCTTTGCGTCTGCTCAGTCCCTTTCTTCAGGACCCACGCGCAGGGGTGCAGCTGCTGGGCTGTGTGCGGAGCGTGTGGTTTTATTCAAAACCCGCTTCCTCTGGGGGCAGCGGTGCCTTCGTTCCACCGGCAGAGCAGGAGAGACCCTTCTCTGCACCGCTGCCGGCCTGTGGCGTAGACGCCGTATGTCACCGCGGCCGCCGGACGGCGTGCGCCGTCAAGGGACGCGCTGTCCCGACTCGTGGGCTTCCTCAGTCAAGTGTGCGTGTCTCTGGCCCATTTTCCAGCTGGGTTGTTGTGTTGCGTTTAATCATCATCTGTATTTTTTAGGCACTGGAGCTTTGTGAACTGTGAGACCCGAAGGTATTTTCTCCTGCTCTATACCTTTGCAGAGTCAGGGGGAGCGGAAGCAGTTTCATTTTGTTGAATCAATCAGCTTTTACTTATCAGCCTTTTTCACGAATTCTACGTTAGGTGTCGAGTGTGCTGGCTCTGCGTGGTCCTGGATTCTGAAGGTTTGTGTCTTGATCTGGCAGTTTCGCAGTTGTACGTCCTGTAGTGAAGGCCATGATCCACTCTGAGTTTGTGCACAGTGCGAGATTCTAGGGTGGGGGTCAGGTTTGTTGCCGCGCTGGCGCTGGCACCCGAGTCAGATGTCGGGGAACCTCTGTGCAGGTCTGTTCTGGGTTCCCCACCTGTTCCCCCGATCTGCACACATTTGGGCCTTTTTTCTTTACTTTTTTTTTAATAATTTTTTTTTTTTTTACACACGTATTTGTTTTTGAGAGACAGAGCATGAGTGGGGGAGGGGCAGAGAGAAAGAAGTTTACACGGAATCCGAAGGAGGCTCCGGGCTCCGAGCTGTCAGCACAGAGCCCCACACAGGGCTCGAACTCACAAGCCGTGAGATCATGACCTTAGCCGAAGTCAGACGCTTAACAAACTGAACTACCCAGGCGCCCGGGGCCTTTTCTTGATGTTAAGGTGAAACATTTCGTTTTTCACCTTTAAGTATGATGTGGTACCTGTAGTTTTTCTGTAGATGCTTTTCCCAAATTGGGGGGAAATTTCCCTTTCTTCCCATTCTTCTGTGAGTTTTTATCCTGAATGGATATTAAATTTTTCCAGATGCCTCATCTGTACTCATATCACGTGGTTTTTTGTCTTTGGCCTGTCATTCGAATTCTGTTTCTCTTGTTGGCCAGTAACATTTCTTTCGCTGTTTTCCAGAGTGTTTTCCTTGTCTTGAATAAGAAGTTTGACGATGGAGTGTTTTAATGTGGATTCGGAGGTGTGTTCTCTTTGGATCCACCCAGCTTCTCGAATCTGGAAGTTTAATGTCTTGCCCAAATTTAGGATGTTTCCAGCCCTTGTTCTTTGAGGACTTTTCCAGTTCTGTCGTGTTTGTCCTCGTTCTGGGCTCCTGGACACCAGTGCTGAATCACGTGTTCTTCAGGCTGCTCTTTCTTCCTTTTCAGTCTGTTTTCTCCCTGGTGTGTAGACCGAGCCATTTCTCTTACGCATCAGGCTCTGTCCCCTTTGCCGTGATGTGGAGCCCGTCCAGTGCAGTTTTAAATTTTCATTTATCGGCGCGTTTTCGTTCTGACGCTGCCCCGTGGCGCTTCCCGGCCGCGGTGGCTGTGCCAGGCCTTCTCCTGCAGCCGCGTGACCGGCGCTTGGCGGCCTGTCGAAGCCTTTTCATTGCGATGCTGTCCCACGTGCCCGAGAGTCCCCGACCTTTGCCCCTGCAGAGTGCACCTCCCCGGCTGTCCTCCTCCTTCGGCTTGAGGTCTTGCTGTTCTTGGGAGGACAAGGGGTTTTCTTTCTTTCTTTTTGTTAAGTTTATTTATTTACTTATTTTGAGAGACAGTGCACGAGCAGGGGAGCGGGGGTCGGGGGTGGGGAGAGAGAGTCCAAAGCAGGCTCCAGGCCATCAGCCCAGACAGAGCCCGACGAGGAGCACGATCCTGTGAACTGTAAGTTCGTGACCTGAGCCGAAACCGAGGGTCACGCTTAACCGACTGAGCCACCCGGGCGCCCCACGAGTGATTTTCAGCTGAAGCCTGGGTGGTTTCACGGCACGTTATGAGAGCCTCGACCTTACTCAAACTTCGCATTTGGCTGTCTCGCCCTGGCTCTGCTCTGGCAGCACAGTGGACACACCTGTCCCTGGTGGGGAGCCTTGGGTCCTTGTTGATCCTGGGCCAAAGGGTCACCTTGGGTCACCCCCCAGGGTCGCCACAGACACAGGGCGGGTGGGTGTTCATGTTACAACCAGGTGAACGTCAACGTCTGACTCTGACACCTCCCAGCCTGGGGTGAGGGTCTCATTACTTGTCCTGGCCCCAGCCACCAGGGTCTCCACGGACACTGCATAGTCAGGGGGTGCTCATTACCGGCTGGCCCGGAGGAAGATCCTGACCCCCCACTCTGCATTCTCTGAGACCAGTGACGGGGGCATGGTTTGTGGTATCGGCCTGTGGGAGAGCAAGTGACTGTCTGAAGCTTTCCTGTTCCGCAAGGGGGTCCCTCTGTGGGTTTCTCCTGGAGAGATCAGGCCACTCTTTGGGCTTTGTGTCTTCCCGTTGGTGTTTTGCGTCACTGGCTCCTGGCCCTCTTCCGTCAGCCCTCGAGTCAGCTCTCTGTGTTCCCCTGCCGGCGCCCCCAGGAGGATGGCAGAGGCCCAGCTGCCTTCCTGGGAGTAAAGTCAACTTGTGATTCAGAATAGACCGTGAATCTTTTGTGTTTCATTTCCTCTTGCATTTACGGTCTCGTTTTTGGGGAGCTCTGCGAGCAGCATGGCATGGGGGCCTTGCAGGTCGGGAAGAGGGAGCTCTCCGTCCTGGGGGTTTAGTCCACCAGAACTCCCCACGTTAGACGAAACTGAGCCATTACACGTTACCACAGTAAAAGAGCTGTGCGGTAACGTATTAGCTGCTTTCCAAACGGGAAAGGAACACAACGCTAAGAATGGCTTGTCTTGCCCTTTGGTGACTCTCTTGCTCCCACCGGCCTCTGCACCTGCCTGTTGTGCTCCGCCCTTTGATGGAAACACAGGAGGAAATTCTGCCGCCTCCCGTGTGGCGTGTCGTTGGTGAGGGGAGACGCCCTGGGGGCTGGGGGCCCTTGACTTACCGGCCGATTCGGTGTCTTACGAGATGAAGAGAATCACCCCCTTTCGAGGGATAGCGCCTGAGAGGTAGGCCGGCCGGCGCTCCCTGGTTACAACTGCAACTGCTTTTCCAAAGGGAGACTGTACGTGGCTGGTTTTGGTAGGAAGATAGGAGGCCGTTTCCCGCGGTCGCCCCGGGGGCCTTGGCTGCGGGGTGGGCGGCGGGCAGCGTGGTGTGGACGGCAGTGGCGAAGCTCCGGTGTCAGGTCCTCGTGTCTGTCCCTAACAAGTCCCCCTTTCGTTAGACACGCAGCCGCTGCTTTTCCGTGTTGTGGCTTAGACCTCGTACCCGCGTCTTCTTCAAAATCAGGAGGCTTGGCCACGTCGTCAGTGTCTCAGGGAGCGGACGTGTTGGGCGGTGACAGTGGGGTCGGAAGTGTCCTCGTGCCCGTCTCGGGGCCGTGGCCCACCTGAGAGCACACGCTCCGGGCCTGCCACCGACACAGACGCGTGTGCCGAGGGCGCCGTGAGACGCCGCGCGGCCGGGCCTGGGATCGGCTCCACGGAAGAGCCTTCTGAAAGCGCGCACTGGTCTTTTGTGTCCGTGTTTGATTGATGGGCGGAACCGTGCGGCTGGAATGCTGGATCGCGTCGCCTTCCCCGGTGCCCGGGTGGACGGCGCGCCGACTTCAGTCCCCGCAGCCTGTGTCTTCAGTTGGGCAGCTCGTTCTTTCTGTTCTGGGCAGAATAGAGAGCCGTGCTGCGTTGGTTTTGGTTTTTTAAAAAACTCTTGCGGCTTGCTCGACCTTACTTTGAGGATAAGTACCTCTCCTGCTGGTTTCTAGGAACGTGCTCGCTAGCTCTTCACGTCTTGTCCTTTGCTCTGAGCCGAGGGACCCAAGAGCAGCGCCGGGGGGGGGGGGGGGGGCGGGGGGGCGCCGGGGGCGGGGTCGTCCGCTCTCAGCGGGAGGGAAGCACGCGGGGACCGTGGAGGGACAGGGTGGCTTTTCGTAACTAAGTGCCCTCTGTGCTTGTTTACGAGCTCCGAGTCGGGAGGCCGTGGAAGCGCCTCTCCTCACGCGGGCCCTGTGACGTTCATTTCAGAGTGGTTCAGCCGCCACCACAGATGCTCGCTCAGGAGCTGCCAGACACCCGACGCGGAGAGCGGCCCGGCCCCGGCGGGAGGAAGCGACAGCCCAGCATGTCAGAGACCATGCCGCTGTACACGCTGTGTAAGGAGGACTTAGAGAGTATGGACAAAGAGGTGAGGCCCGCGGGCGCCGCACGCCAGGGGCAGGGCGCCCACCGCGCTCACGCTCCGCCCTCGCTTGCCCAGGAACGCTTCCGCTGGCGGATTTGGCGTGGCCTGGAGTGACGCGTCGGGGCGTCGGCGACCCCGGAAAGCCCGGCCGCGCCCCACCGGGGGTGCCTGCGCGCTCCCCCGACCCCGCCGTTGGCGAGGGCCCGGCATCGGGCGGGCAGGGCCGGGGCCGCCGGCGGCCTGCACTGCCCAGTGGGAGATTCGAGGTGACCGCCTGCCCGGGTCACGGGGGCTCTGAAACACAGGTGACGGTTGGCAGTTCACGGTAGGATCTTGTTATTACGCCGCTAAACGGTTCTAGGCGACATCGGTGGCATTTTTCTCTTCAGGTCCTTAAGTGTGGGAATAGTAATAATAGGGCCGTGAATCCATTTTGGATTAGAGGTTAAATACGGTAGGGATCTCCGTTTGGGACAAAACAGCCAAAACTGCAGGTAATTTTGTCATCTGCCCGGTGCTTCATCCCCTGAAAGGAGCCCGTCCTGAGGCCCACTGGCCCCCCAGGCGCCGTGACCCCTACTGTCCTGCTCCGGCCAATACCCTCGAGGGAGGGGCCCCCCCCCCGTCGGGGTTTCCGTGTGTCTGTAGGTGGTGTGCGGGCGGCATCAGTGCAGAAAGCCACGTCGCGCGTCCGAGTGAACGTGGCGCCTTGTCACGCCCAACCGGCCTCTGCTTGGGACAGAAGCTGTGCGCCGGCCGGCCCCACGGCCGCCTGGGTTTCTGCTCCGGCACCGCACCGTGCTCCGTGCTCGTTGCCACCGGTGGGAGGGCCTGTGTGTAGAAAAGCATGTTTTAGTTTATCTTCAGTAGGGGAACGTCAGTGGCCCGTTCGGTACAGAATCTTACCGGGAGCCCTCGTCCCTTTCCGTCGCCGGTTTACCTTGCGGCGCTTGGAGCCTGTCTGCAGGTGTGTCGATTCCCTTTCTTGGCCGTTTTTTGAATATTTCGCTGGTGGAGGTGCTTTTTTATTGTTGTTTCCCAAGCGTTTTCTCCGGAAGAACTTCCTCAGCGCTGCTCTTTGATCTCTGGGTCGATCCAGGCGGTCACTGACCCCACAGAGACCTGGGGGAGAGGACCGCTGGCGCGTGCCTCCCCCGTGCTCCCAGCCACCCTGCAGACGCGCACACACCAACCTGCTAAGTAGCGACAGCTACTTTGGTACTTGTTCCAGGTCAGGGGACGTCGGAATCTTACCGTGAAATGAAAGTGCTACGTGCAACTTTCTGTCACTTTGAGAGAAAGGAAAGGGAGCCTCCGAGCCTTCGATCCGGCTCCTCGGCAGTAGGAAGTGGCAAAGGCCAGAGCAGCCCGGCACTTGAGAGCTGGTGAGCCCCGGGCCGCCGTGGCAGTAGAGGGCCGCGTCCCATGAGCCCCACAGGGAGGCAGGTGCCACGCTCGGGCGCTCACACTCCACCTCCGCTCCTCTTCCCCAATTCCTGGTTCTGGGCAAGCACGGCGGGCCGGAGGCCGCGGGGTTTAGGGGTCGGAAACTGAGCGGCGGGGAAGCGAGCGTGCGTGACCGTGCCCGTGTACGGCGGTGTTCCTGCCCAGCACGTGGCCGAGGCTGGAGAGACCTTCCCGCGCGCCTGGCTGCTGGGGGCCCCAGGTGGTCTCGGCAGCTCTGCGCCAGGCCACACGGGGACGTCCTGGGCAGAGTGTGCCCCTGATGGGAGGGATACCCTGGTGTCAGAAGATGCCTGTTGCCGCGTGTGCCCCCTTCTCCTGGAACACCCACGTGCCCAGAGCGGGCCTCAGAGCCCCGTTGTTGGGCGGCAGGAGACATGCCTCTGGAAAGCAGGCACGCTGCCTCCGGGGACGCTGGTCTTGGGCTGCTGCTCCGTGAGCTCGAGGCGGAGGCTCTGAGAGTCCCGCGTGGGCTTGGCCGGGTCTCGTGAGGCGCGCTGCCCTCAAACGGATCTGGGTTCGCCATCGGGAGCGGGGAGCAGAGACGGTGAAAGGGGGAGATGTGTGATGATCGTGCTGCACACGCAGGTTTCAGAGAGTGTCACGGGCTGCAAGGCGGTGGCCGAGGTCTCTGGCCTGTGCCGAAGGGAGGGAGGGAGGGTGATGCTCCTAGGAGACTCTGAAGTAAATCTTTGGAGAGAATCCCGGACGGCTTCCCCAAACCTGGAGCTGCTTGTGGTAGAAGGGGCTCTTGTCTCTGCCGCTGACGTGTGCGACTGCTTTTGTTTTCTGGTGGTCTTTGTCCTTTTGAGATAATTCAGGGGGGACTGCTGTTCAGCGTCGTTCTGGTTTCCGTAGAAATTGGTACGCATTAGAGACTTGGGTGGCCTGCTTTTTGTGCATTCGTTCTCGGATTTATCAGGAACGTTCAGTTGAGTAACCGAATGTCTCTCGTATCAGTTCATTACTGGCTTATCTGCCAGTACTTACTTCAAATACAGTTAGGTTCTAGGAATTGTGAAATCTGCCTCAGGTCCCCTGGCAGAATTCTGTACCCTCAGCAGGCCACTGTCTTACTCAGTTCAGTAAACGAAGGTCCCAGTAAATAAGACTGACCAACATGAGCTTCCTCCGCTGTGACCACCCACTCCATGTCCTGATGCCCCCATGCTCACCTGTGCACTCAGAGGCCACTGTAGTTGTATTTTTTTAGTCCACTAGAGGGGGCTCTTCAGACAGCCTGTCATCAGCACGGACAGGTGCTCCGCAGCCAGGGTGTCCCAAGGTGCTCCCAAGGTCCCAGGGGTCCATCAAAGGCGCTCAGACACAACCTCCAGCCCCCAGCAGCCCCGGTCCCCTTCATTCTGTCTCCCATTTTGTCCTGCCAGAGCTCCACTCAAGTCACCCAAGAGGCACAGCTCACCGGTGACAAAGTGCTCTAGGTCCTGCAGGGCCCGCCCCTGGGCTTTTGTCCTTGTCACGCACCAGACATCATGCTGGTGTTTCAGACCAGCATCCTTGCAAACCAGGGTCTGAGACAGAATCTTCCGGTTACTGTTTCCAGACGGTCCTAAAACCACAGCAGCGCCCCTCAGCCACGGCCTCCCTTTCCGCAGTTTTGGTCCCACTGCACTCCGGCCACAGCATCAGAAAGTCAGCGGCAGCCTGATGGCACGTCGCACGCCCCTGTCATTTACCTCCCCCACGTGACCACGAGAGGAGGAAGGGTGGGGAATCTACGAGAGACACGCCGCGTTCAGACAGCTGTTCTCACAGCATCACCACACTCGTCATGTCTTACCGTTAGTTTCTGTTAACCTCTCCCTGTGCCTGACTTGTGGACGAGCCGTGTCGTAAATGCACGTGTAGGGTTCGGGCGTCCACGGGGGGTTTGCACTGTACCTGCACGGATGAGGGAGGGACTGCTGTATACGCATGTCTAGCATGCCCCTTTCTGTTTCCAGTCAAGTCCTCGCCCAATGGTTATACTTTGTGTATCGTGGTTTACACAGCGCTTTCTGCCAAAGCTCGGTGACCTCGCCGTGTGCTGTGGTTCAGACTGACGTGCTGGGCGCGCCCGCCCATGTGTTCATGCCGTGGCAGCAATTCTGTGTCATGCATAAGACGGCGAGCCTTACTTTCTGGTACAGATGCCATGGTTTTGTGGAACGTGTAGGTTTGTTTCTGATGAGTACGCGCGGTGGGCTCACACCTTTCCTGCCTGTACACAGTGGTCCTTTTCTTGAGAGGAAGTGGGGCCTCGGGCATGGGCGTGCTGGTGTCTGGGGCGTTAAAGGGGGGGCCCATCCGAGCTAACCGGAGTGTCCCCGGGAGCCACGTGACCCTGAGAGTCCACGAGATGCGTGCACCCTGGTGTCCATCCATGTGAACGGTCTCACCCATTTTATCGGCGGAGGAGTCACACGATGCTGGGGCACTGCCGGGTGGTGACCTCAGCCCGAGGCCGCGCACCAGCACGTTCCCCCCCCTGCTTCGATGCTTCGCTCGGTGCGGGACTCGGGCATCAGGAGCAGCTTCCCACCCCCGATGGCAGGTCTGCCCCATCTGGCAGCAAGTACGTATTCTGAATAAAATAGGCACCTTGTCCATTGGCTTCAAAATGTTGAGATGAAGCAGCTTTATTCCAGAAGCTCCTCAGGACCCCAGCTTTGGGGGCACATGCAGGTGGCTGTGACACGGTTTTAGTTGTGGTCGTGGTTGGTCAGTAATGCACTCGTGTTTTGTCCAAAGCAGGACCCACAGGGTTAACGGAGCTCTGTGCTCTGCCTGTAAGTCCTCGCAGGGCGTCGCGCCCTGCGGGAGTCTGCATCACAGCCTTGGGTTTCCATGGGCGAGCTTTAGTCACGTGTGTGTTTGTTTGTTTCTTTTTTAACATTTACTTATTTTTGGGAGACAGAGACGAGAATGAGTGGGGGAGGGGCAGAGAGAGAGGGAAACAAAGAATCCAAAGCCGGCTCCCAGCCGTCGGCACAGAGCCTGACGTGGGGCCTGAACCCACAAACCGTAAGATCATGACTTGGGCCGAAGTTGGACGCTTAACCAGCTGAGCCACCCAGGAGCCCCACATGTGTGTTCATTTTAAGCAAACACACAAGGGAAGTGCAGAATGGAGGTCTCACTGTCCGTTCTGAGGCTGATGAGCAGTTTCTATGGTGGGATGTGTGGGCTGTGGCTCCAAAGTAGAAAAGTTCCATCCTTCAAGTTAAAATGTACAGCAACTTATTTTGAAAGTTAAAAGTTCAGTATCCTATTAAAACAAAATTAGCTTAGAGTCAGATAAGTAAACAAAGCGTTCGCCATATGTAATCAAAGGACCAGTCTGTAATGCCCCGGCACACGTCTGAGAAGCACAGGGAACACTGTGTGGGGAGGAAGAACAAACCAGCACTGGCCCCGGTGCTGGCCCAGGTGGGTGAACCCCTGCCTCCCACCCCAGCCTCCCTGGCCCCTTGTGAGGTCTGCAGCTAAGGTCCACAAACAGGAACAGCAGGGCCCTAGGGGCGCCCAGCCAGCTCAGC